AGCATACAGGGAAGATCGCGGGGATATGATCATAGCAAAGAATCTGTTATCTACTCGAAGGGCCGTGTTACCATTAGCAGATACGATATGATAATAACATATGGGCACTTACATATGTCCAGAATCCATGTTCTAATCTAAGCGCCATTTTACCATCAACAGAGGCCACATGATAACAACATACAGGTACTCACAGATATTAGGAGTCGGAGGTACACACAGTTTTTATGAAGAATGGGACAGCACGTTTGATTGTCTCGTATAACAGTCAAATACTACTACAGCAACATCAAACAGTAATACAAATGACAGGGGTCCAACACGGGAGCATAGGAAAGGCATGTATACAAAGCAACAAATATATGTGCTAGAAGCAAGTACGTACCATGAACTGACCCGATAAAAACTACTTATACAAGTGCTGCAAACGGCCTGATAGCATTAGATGAAAACAGTACTGATGGTGGAATGCATGATAGGAGACGTACCATGTGCATGGTCCCGCGCGTTTGTGTGGGGCGAGTTGGACTTGTGTGCACACGCAGACGACGACGAGGACGGTGCGCCGCAGGCTGGGCACCTGCCTACTGCAATGGACATGCCTTATACTACAGGATCATCGCGCTTATGCTCGGCCTCCTCCGCATGTCGGCCGACGATGCCATCAGAGCATACAACAAGTTCATACAACATCAATTGTAAGCATCGTCCAGCCTCGTGAAGCTTAAATGCGAACTCACTCCTAGCTTAGATTAAACTCTACTGTAGTTTTACGACCACAAGTTCGCGCGGTGGCGTGGGAACTCTATTACCAAATACAGCGTGTCCCGCTTTTTAGTTCGCTGGGGGTTGGTGCAACGGGACACAAGTTCGTTGGGCAAGAAAAAAACGAGTGTTTGATGGCTCTCCTGGACATGTGTCTGCACACTAACCTAAATTTAAGTAATTCAGAAGAAAACAAAGGCGGTTCAGTGATTAGACTCAAGAAAGTGGCTCAGACACAGATGGCAATTTGGCCCCTATATACGCTATGTCCCGCATTTAAGTTCGCTAGGTCCAGCAAAGCGGGACATGTCCCGTTTTTAAGTTCAGTTCGCATATCCGACGGGACACGGGACGAACTTATGGTCGTAAAACTACAGTATCTGCTGGACGGTGGCGTCGAGTACGAAGAAACCATCCGTTCTGGTGAAGAATCTGAAGTGCCGCAGACGAAATGGATGCTGGACCACGCTCGTGGTTGAGCACCCTACACACCAGCGGAAACTTTCCGTCTGAATGTTGAACGGGAACGACTCAGATCGAAAGTGCTTGCCCATTGGAACGAAACGCACAAGTATACGGCATCTGAGCGCCCGATCGACGCCATCCTCTGCCCCGTGTCAGCCACGTTGGCACCACCTCACGATACGATGCGTTGGTGGGGCTATACCTCCCACTGGAATCTCCTCGACCTACCTGCTGTGGTTTCCCCCCCGTTGGTCAGTTTGACAGCAGCGCGTACCCTGGATGTCTATCCCTGGTGGGGAAGGCACGCAATGACGTAGAGAAGCTCGTAATGTATCAGTGCAACCCGCCCACTTACCACAGTGCACCTATCTGTTTGCAACTCGTAGGAAGGCGCCACAATGAGGAGAAACTTTTGGCTATCCTGAAGAGGATTGAGGCAGGCATACCGTCAAAGATCAAAAAGTGGAATTTGGAGTGACTCAGCTCATAGTCGCCCAGTCAATATGGCTTTTTTCGGGCAAGGGGAGCTTGGAGGCCCCCTTCACGCCGTTAGCAGTGGCGTTGGGCGTCTCTGCGGCCCAGAGAGCGTGGTGGCAATTGGCATTGCCTCGCCAGTCGCGGTGTTGCCATGCCTGATGGGCGACAGCTGCTGCAATTGAAATTTTAGGGTAGAGGAACTCACCGTGGCCGCGTCGAATTCTGAGTACTGAGGCATGGTGGTGGTGGGAGGGAAGAAAGGGCAGCAGGGACACAACGCAAAATCCCTTAGTTTAAGAAGCCTATTGACTCTCGCAAATCGGCGTGCGCACGAGCCACCTGCTGCACTGGGTCAAAGGAATTCGAGAAAGCTTCTTTCCGCGCGTCATCGAGAGATTCCATTTGCCACAAGCCCAGATCATCATTAATATCACTCGCCCAAAAAGAAGCTTTCTTAACCTACTTTGAGGAGAGCGATGATCAAAATTCTCGGTGTTTAAGCTCAAGCTTGAGTGCCACAGCAGCCAAGAAGCAGCGTCTAGCAGCATCTTTTCCCTTGCGAGCTGGCTGCGTTTTGACGGCCCGCAACCTTTTGACGAGCTGACTGTTCGTCTCACAAGGCCTCGCGAGCCGTCATTTCCCCTCGCCTAAATCAAGTCCATCTCGCGACGCCCACTTGCTCCGCTATCCCACCGTACTTTTACTGATGATGAATACTGCAGGGCAGGTAGATGAGGGAGATTTCTTGGGTGAGGATGAAGCGCTCGCTGATGAGGTTGGCTTTGATGCATTGTAGAGGTCAGTCTTCTACTGCTCAGAGTGCTTCGGTTAGTTGCTAACTGGTTTATGAGCAGTCTCTTATAATCGAGTGTTCATATTCCCTTCGAACTTACATTCATATTGTTATGCTCCAACATAGCGCAAGTGATTTTACCTTGAATTTCGGTCCACGGTAAGCTCACGATCATATGGTACTCGATGGTAAGATCCCGACGATATGATATTCTACCATTACTCGTATCTTCAATATTTCTGCCCGCTTTTGTTTGGTCTTTTGTTTGTGCTCTTGATCAGATCCCCTTGAGATCAGATTTGCTCTCGATCCGGACATCCTCAACCATTTTGGGCCGTACTCCCGTTGATAAGATCATGGTCCCTGAGCTGGCGCTTTGTTCGTCGCCATCCTTTCCTCCCCTCCTCCTTCCCCTCCCCATTTTCGCACCATGGGTCTTCGCAGTTGCACGATTGGTATGTCGTCCAAGTCCTTTAATGTTTACACACGCTTATTTCAGCCCCGCCAGGACTACAGAGCAGGGTTTTCAGTGCGTACCATATCTATCGCTTTTTGGCCATGAGCTCACGAAAGCATGCTCCTAGGTGGCGATAGCGCTCTTCCCAACTCCACTTGACGTTCGCAAAGAGCACCTTGCCTCCATCCAACTCTACTCCCAACTTGCTCGTGATTTTCTCCCTCGTTGCATCCGATGCAGGGTTTGCAGGTACGCCCTCTCGCTCAAATACCATTCCCCACTGACGAAAATGTCCATCACAGGCACCCATGGGCTCATGTTCAGCCACGGTAAGCTCGTTCCCTGCCGCGCGGCGCGCCCTATCTCACCCCTGGCACCTTAGCCAGCCTGACCGCGACCGAGCCGTTGCTCTTACGCTGTCCGCCTGCAAGAGTAAACTGGCAAGCCGCGTCCAGCAAGCTCACACCCAGGTACGCTCTCTCACTCGAATACCAACTCCCGCTGCTCACACATTGATCACAGCATCGAGATCGCCACCTGTAAACACGTGTTCGACCACGGCCAAGTCAGGCTCTCGACACTCGCAGCGCCCTCTTTCCCCCGGTCTCCTTGCGCCACCCATTGATGGCCAGGCTTGGATAGATCCCTCGCTCTCGGCCCCGTCTGAACATGGCTCTGTAATCATAGTCTGTTACCCGTTGCGTGTAGATAGTTAACTGTTACTTCTTCAAATTGTTGAATGCATGTATATGTTCACTCTGTCAGATTAATGAGTCTAACCCCGGAATTTACTCTGCTTGAGACGCTCTGCTGATGGTACCTACTATCCCAATGAAAGATTGTGCTGCCATCAGAGACTAATAGATCTAAAGGGATAGATCTGACGGTTCAGGAAATCTTATATAGGGTTTTATTCGTTTGATACATCACGGTTGCAAAGTGCAAGCCCTCATGACAGGTCCGACCGACTTGCCGAGACAGGGGAGGACTCAAGGGGTTATGCAAGGAGCAACACGCGCGATCTAGACACCAAGGTCCAAACGTAAGTCTCAGTCGTCGCGCGGGGAAAGCGAACACTAATATAATTCACCTAGACACCAAGGTCCAAATGTAAGTCTACAACGAGGGTGAGTACGGTGTCTAGCACATCGAAGAAAAGTGTCTCACCTCAGTCGTCGCGCGGGGAAAGCGAACACTGAGGTGCTGTAGTATCGTATCGGCCGAAACAATGACACGTAGAGATAGAAACGAAACATTCACATGCGATCAGTCAAAAGGAACGTCGGCAGGCCAGTTAGAAAGATAGGAGATAACGAGCATGTGGGTAGTGTCAAAAAACGTCAGCGAACACTACGAAAAAGGGTATAGCGCGATGATGAGATGTCCAACGTCGGCGCCGCCACTGCGATGCCAGCTCCATCGCGATCCGGCAAATCACTTCGCGCCCTGGGTCCACACTCGGCGATCCGCAGTCTGGCTGTGCGCCGGCTTGGGAATCCCAACAATGACAACTATCATTGGAAAACTCATGGAACAGATGAGATTTGATTTGATAGCACCGTGACGTGGTAGGCCGTGGTTGATCTAGAACCTGTCTGATTTTCTCACATGTAGCAGAAAACAGTTTGTAGTACATGCTATGATTTTCACGTCTTCGCCCATCAATTGTGCCGTAGCGGAGCACGGCATGTCTTGTATTTCATTCTCATATTGTGGACTGACGCTTAACCAATGTTGAATCCTCGCCATTTACGGTCATACAGGATTCTATCAACGGTCATATTATAACACTGATAACCTCGTTTATGCCCCGACATTTTCCCCCCGATTTAGTGATGAAGAACCTATGCGTAAACCCCGTTTCTCCACAAGGTCACAATGCCATGAGTTGACTCTGCTCTTTCTCCAGCTTTTTAACTCTGTTGAGGACACGTATGGTCTCTATCACGGCCTGCCATCGCTCGCTCCAGACAACACAACGCCGCTTCAAATCGCCATCGTAAAACTCCACACACATCGTCCAGGCCTGAAAGTGCGCGGGCATATCCAGCTGGGGAAGATGTCCGCCAAGAATGCGGCAACCGAGGGAATGTGAGCTCTATCCTCCAACTTCGATTCCAACAAGTCCAGGTGAAACGGCCTATTGATGCAGAACTTCCCGCAGGTTCCATCTTCCAGGTCGTCTCCCCCCACGCTGTCTCCGTCCACCGCTACAGACAAGGTGTGAAGGTGTGGGAGCTTCGTGAGCATGGTTCGTAAGCCATATAAGGTAAATTTTGATGTTAGCTTGAATTAACAATAGCCACAACATACAGAATCTAGTAAACTACGCGTAGAACTGTCCGTCTAGGGGTTACTCTACCGCACCAGGACATTAAAATGATACTTCATTCATTCATTTAAGGTAAATTTTGACATGTTCTTCCAGCCTCTTTCCTTGTTGATGGATAGCGAAGCGAGCTTTGGCCATACTTCTGCCAACTGAATGAACGCCTCATCAGTGACAATGACACTCCTGCGGGTGTTGATGTTGATGTCGGTTAGGTGATGGAAAGGCAACATGTGTAGGAAGGTGCTGTCGTCGATGTAGTAGTGCCCAACATATGGTTCTTCCGTGACGTCGAGATGGGTCAAAGCGCGGCAGTCCAGACTCTTAGACAACGCTCCAAACAAGTCTATCAGCAACTCTGCGGAGTCCGTATCCGTATGTACAATGACCTCTTACGGTGATGAGCGATGCGGATGCAGAACTCTAATGAATTCGCCGACGTCCGAAGTGGTTTTCTGATGTCGACTCTAGAGCGTGAGGGACTTGATACCTGGGAATGGATGTGTATCAGGGTTACACGCGATGACGGGAAGACGATAAGTAGATAGCTGTAGGTGTAGATGTCGGAGAGTGTTAAGCGACATAAGATGCTGCAGCGCAGCGCTGCTTAGGTTATCGCATGTCAATATTTCAAGGCTATCCCAAGCGCAAATAGCTCGAGACACAGCTGCGGTTTGATGGTCTTTGTGGCTCGTCTCCCACCCGCCGTCGTATATTTGCCAACAGAACGTTTTCATGTGAGGGCAGAGCACGCCTAGTCTAGCCACCAAATCGAGAGCCTTGCCGTCGCTCGGTACCAGCGAGAGCTTCAAGTGAAGTAGGTGAGGGCTAAGGAGGTGTTCGAGGACATGAACTCCGACTCGGGATAGTACAAAGTTCGCAGCCTGGGCAGTATGTACTGTAGGGGCGAATGTACAAGGGCATCATATATGCGGGAGTCGATGTGGATATCGGAGTCGTAGGACATGCTTAGCTCGACAATGCGACGGGCATAGTGTGACCAAATGTCCCAATCGTTGGGGCTGAACGATCGGCGAAGCTCAAAGTAACACTGGACAGAGACGAAAGCGCAGCATTGGTGAGTATTCGATTCCCTTAAACGACACAATGTATATGCCAACGTACTGTGGGTCCCATAGCTTTCTCGAGCCTACCAGAGAGCCCCAGAACGTATTGAGGAGGTACGCGCTTCTCCAAGACAAGGTCGTCAGGAAGGCAATGTAGCAGGGGCACTAGGCTATCCAGTTTAGACCACAGACTTTCTGTCGCCTGAGTAGAGAAGGAGCGGCAGGTCCGAGCCATGGCAGCGAGGTCCCTGTATCGGGACTCCTTGCGATTGACCTTGCGATAGGCATCGGCGATAGGTTCTGGCTGACCGACATATCGACAGATATGCTGGACAACTTCGTCGATTCGTAAGACATTGTGCATCTTGGGATATCAGCGGGGATCAAGATGCCCAAGGGAATACTTGGTCAAGTAGAGCGCGTTGTTCAACATGGCCGTCAAATGTCGCTTTCACTGTTGACGGGATATATATTGCAACTCCGCTCCCGGAGTTTCGCCTCGAGACCGTCAATGCTGAGGCCTGAGGCGCGTACTCCGGAGTAGTATACGCCTTGCTAGCAATACTAGACACTAGATACAGTTGCACTATAGCATTTCTTTATTTTCACTGCTATTCCGTCTACTCACACCGAAATTAACCGCTTTTCTAGCCGCTTGACTCGGTTAATGATATCCATAGTATCAACCACACTTGTCCACCTCTCTCGATATAGCTCTACCGGGTCGACTTCTCCCCATTGCTCGGCGTCGGTGTCCACCTCAAACATTTGTGTCCAGGCATGGACCGTCACACGAGCATCCGAGTTGGGGAAGATGTCTGCGAGAACGGCTGCAACGGCTGGAATATACGAGGTGCTTATCCTTGAGTTGAGCAGATCCAAGCGGAACGGTCGCTCGATGCTGAATGACCCGTAGCTCCCGCGTGAAAGGGCGTTGCTCACGCTGTTACCGTTGACCGCTAGAGCCAACGTCTGAAGCATCGGGAACTTCTTCAACATCGCTCGAACACCTTGAAGAGTCAGCGTTGAGCTGGTCTCTGAACTTTTACCCCAGCCGTATTTCTTGTTGATGGACAGCGAAATGAGCTTCGGCCACGCGTCCCCGAGTTGGATGAGCTCGTTGTCATCCATGATGACTGTTCGGCCGCTGCTGATGTTGATAACGGATAGATTATGAAACGAAAAGAGAGGTTGCAGCGTGCTGAGATCGAGAGAGTGATACGCCCATTCGTCGTCTTCGTTAATGTTGACTTGGACCAGAATGTCCCCGTGAAAGCTGGAGGGCATAACATCAATGAGGTCCTTAAGGGAGTTTGCATAAGCATCCTTTGTGCTGGCCGTGAACTCTCTCGGAGATGCGCGACACGGGTGAAGGGCGCTGACGAGCGCAGCAACAGACGAGAGCGTGCATGTAGGTGGGCTTGAGAAGGAGAGAGAGACGACTTTAGGAAACGGATTGGTGATACGGCGATGCGCGATGGCATAAGAACGAGTGGTGCGAATTGACATATTCAGGTGCCGAAGGGATTCGAGAGACATGAGATGTTTCAATGTGGTGTCATCCACGTCGAAGCACTCGAGCGTCTCAACATTGCGCCATCGGAATATAGCACGAGACAGAGCATCCCTCTGTTCTTCCGAAGGAAAATCGCAGTGCCAAGAAAATGTTTTAACGTTAGGGCAAAGTTCGCCCATGGCCTCCACTGTCTCTAGAGACCCGTCGTCGTCGGGCCCTTCACTAAGGCTGAGATCGAGGACGGTAGGGCCAAGCAACCGCTTCAGGAAGAAGATATTTTTGTATTCTGGCCAGTGCAGAATCTGCAGCTTGGGGAAGAGGCTTTTGGAGGGCGCACAACAAAGTGCACTGTATATGTCTGGATGAATCTGAACATCCGTCTCCCTAATAAAATGCAGCTCGACAACGCGCGCGGCGATCTTGAAGAACGTATTCCAGTCGTCATCACCGAATGGCCGTTGAAGCTCAAAAAATCGCTGGCGAAGTAGATACGGTGACATTGTGCCCAAGGTTCCTGGCGATCAAGACTGAACTTACCGTAGGTTTACTGAATTGTGTTCTCCTTGTTCCGACCAAATCTTCAGATCTAAGTGGAGGACGAGCGAGATATTGGGGGGCTTCCCGTCTTTTCGAAATGAGATCGTCAGGAAGACGAATCAGCAAAGGCGTCAGGCCATCTAGTCTTGCCCAAAGAACATCGGTTGCCCGCGCAGAGAAGACGCAGCAAGTGCGAGCCATGGCTGCGAGATCTCTAGCACGGCAGTTTTTCCAGCCAACCCCTTCAACGAAGACTCGCCCTGATTGTTGATCGATGTACCACAATATGTTTTCGATGATTTCATCGATGTTCAAGGCGTGATGCATTCCGAAATTCGAGATACTTCAAAAAGAGTTGGGTTGAGGAAAGCGCTGCTTGAGAAATAAGAATGAGAACGTCTTTGTTCACGACAGGTCTCAGACGCTGAGTGCGGGGGTGAATCTCAGAAAGCTCTCGATGAACCAAACGCGTATTGGCGGCGTGCTATTATAACTCCGCCTCTCACGCTCAAACCGGAGGTGGCTGCGATTGGTTCTCGACTCTGAAGCTCTCGATAAAATTGCTCGCGCTTTGTTTCAGCTCCATTCTCTGCTTCCTCACCCAGCCCTAGCGACTTCGCTTTAGAAGGTCCGCCGGGAAACTATGTTACCTTTCTCGAGGAAGTAGTCGAGTCTATACCAGCCTAAGCTTTGGCAACAAACTCTCTTTCTCGGGCTCGCCCGACAATGAATTTGGTGCCCCAAGTGCTTCTTACGAGTGGTCATCGTGTTCAGGGACACGGACGTTGCTAGAGCATCTCAGCGACTGGCGTCTGCTCATCATCATGTCATATCTTCTCTCGTCCCACGACGGCTTACCACACTGCGGCGCCACCTCGTCTGCGACCCTGGTGGCTCACGCGCCAGGCCTGCCCATGCTAATTTAGTTTCGCAGGTGCCCGAGAAAATCAGAAGAAAATTCGAATAGAACAAGAATATGTCACAGCGTGTACGTTCTCTTTTCTGGACACCAATTCAGGACATTGCCTTCCGGTACTTGGTGCCAAGCTGACCTCCGTTCGGTTCCACAGGTTTTCTCAGATCATCACCATGATTGTATTTTTCCAACCCGATGATCACGACTTTAGTGAAGCGGCGAGTTGCTGTGCCATGTTCCGAACTCCTATTTTGATTGCACATGGACACAACGACATTTATAGGCCAGGTCCCCTGTGGTGGGTTCAGGCCCGCGAATTGCCACCTATACAGTATCTTTGGCCAGTCCCAAGGATTACTTCTTCGAAGCCTGAACAGTTGATGATCACTGCGGAGCAGGTAGTCGAGCTGATACCACCCTTGAATGCGAAAATATCACAGTTCCACTCAATCAGCCTGCTGGTAACTTTCCTATCTTCGTCCCATGACTCAAGCCATGGCTTCACAGACGACATCAGAGGCCCTCCCAGGGTTGCTCTGCATTCTAGGGCACCTCCAAGGATTTATATATGCGCACATCGTCCCCGTCGCCCTTTATGTCTAACCAGACACCATGCAGCCCTTCACCAATACAGTGTTTTGTACGGATGTTGTTACCCGCCACGTCGGGTGGCGAACCGGCGTTGGCCGAACGGCGCCCATCACTATCGTGACCGATTCACGCGCGGAGCTGTAAATAAACTTGGGGACAGGGGTCGACGCGAACGATTTCGAGGGCGTTCAGAACACTCAGAGCGTGATCGTTTTCTCTTGGCGCTGGTTAACTGGGGAGCAAGACATAACTAATTTTTTCTCCTTTTATACACGCTCCAGCGTGCGTTTGAAGCTGTCAAGTGTATCTTGTTGCCATAGCGTTCAGTGAGCAGCGTCACTGCATTGATGTTGATGAGCCTCAATCGCGACGGCGTATCAACTGGTCAAGAGGACCCTGCGCGGACATATGACGGCATTAATATCCATGTACCTCGCCCCTGACTTAAGTGCTACATTGTCGAAGAGGGGCAGATGCAGTGATGAGCAGCGAGTACACGACGTTCCTCCTTGCTTCAGATGAGATGAAGCTGAGGAAATAGTTGGTTGGTGGAGCACGCCACCTCAAAGCTTAAAACAATAGGCTTGAGGGGATTGGCCTAGTGACTGACAAGATTGACAGCGAGCCGAGCCACGAAGGACGCCTCGGAGTGACAGCGCCTTGGACAGCGCTAAATTAGACGGACCGAATCATTCTTGCGTTATCTTCGCGCATTCTCCTGCGGTGCAAACATTGGTAGCCAAGATGTGCTGTATCTGAGGACGAGAGACAAGAGCAAAACGTTGTTGTGAAACATGACTCTTTGTGAATGGGGGTTGACAGGTGTGTCTGCGACTCTCCGCACAGTCGGAAGGTACAGCCGACATTCAATCGCACGGTATTCCCAACGTAATTTGGCCGAAATTACGACCCGTCAGGAGTGCGAAGTGGCAACGATCCCAACTGTCGTGTTGAAAATTTCGGACAAAAACAAAGACCATCATCTTCTTCCTCCCCATTCCCTCCTGTCCCAACAAGACGACGGTCTAGGACGCACGCATCCCCTCCTTCCCTTCTACATCTTTCTTCTTGTTCGTGCCCGCTCCAACCGCTGTCCAGCCTTTTTTCCCAGCCTTTCTCCCGCGCCTGGACGTGCATCAGTAGGCGTTTCCCTTGCACTCTCACACTATCGTCACTGATTTACGCCCACATTACTGGTCCCCCTCATAGTCCCTCTCCTTCCTTCCGTTCTTCTTGGCCTTGGCCCTGCCTTTACCTTTTGCTGTTATTACCGTCCCCTTCCCGCTTTAATCCACTACCATGGGCGCTTGCATGTCATCAGGGGGAGTTCAGGTCGACATTTCTGAGGAGGACAAGCGGCGGAACAGAGAAGTCGAGAAGGATCTCCGAGAAGTTAGTGCTCCCTATCCTATCTCATCCCCCCTCCTTCGTCTGTGATTATGTTACTGACACCAACGCCCTCGCGAACAGGCGCGAACCAAGATGGCCGCGCAGGTGAAGGTACGCCCACTCCCCTACGACACACTACGCCCTCTCCTCACTGTCGTTCCCTCAGGTCCTGCTCCTTGGCTCCGGTGACTCCGGAAAGTCGACCATCCTCAAGGTACATGCCTCCCTTCCCACTCCATGTCGTTCTATGGGCTTACCGGTGGTTGTGTTTCACTACAGCAAATGCGCCTCATCCACAAGGTGCCTTTCACTCCCCAAGAGATCGAACAGTACCGCCAACTCGTCTTCAACAACCTAACCAATGGTTTTGTCTACCTCCTCGACGCCATGGAAGACATGGAGCTCGAGGTTGAGGACGACAATCAGAAGCACCTCGAGTTGATTCGGAGCGCTCCTGACCTTCGGGATAACCAAGTATTCCCACCGGATTTCTTCGAGCCCCTCAAGTCGCCATGGGCAGACAAGAATGTGCAGACGGCGTACGAGCGCGGAAACGAAGCAGCTCTACCAGAAAAGTGAGTGTCGTATGCCCGAGTGACATGACTCGAGAGCGCCTTTCTGACGCTGAAACCCTGTGCATAGCCTCTCATACTTCTTCCCCGACCTCGACCGCCTTTTTGAACCTTCATATCAACCCACCGAGCAAGACATCGTTCAATGCAGAGCGCGGACCATCGGTATCACGGAGACCACCTTCCAACTGAAGGACCACGAGATGTTGATGGTGGACGTTGGTGGACAGAAGAGCGAGCGGCGGAAGTGGATACATTGCTTCCAGGACGTGACGAGCATTCTGTTCCTGGTCAGCTTAAGCGGGTACGATCAGTGTTTGGTGGAGGACAAGGATGCGGTATGTTATCCTTGCTCGTCGTTTTCATGTTGCTCATGAGTTTCTCCCTTGCAGAACCAAATGCAGGACGCAATGACCATTTGGGACTCAATATGTCATTCTCAATGGTTTAAGCAGACTTCAATAGTACGTCCCCTTCCCTCCCCACGTCGTTCTTCGCCAATTCATGAATTTCCCAGATATTATTCCTGAACAAAAACGACCTCTTCGAGAAGAAGATCGCGCATTCAGACATCAAAAACTTCTTCCCGGTACAACGATTCAATATTCTGCGCGCATATATCCCGTGCTCACCATACCTCACAGGACTTTGAAGGTGAATCGGGTGACCCCAAGGCTGGCCGCGACTACTTCCGGAAACGATTTACCAAGCTCGCCCAGAAGGCTGGCCGGGGGAAAGAGCGGGAGATATATATTCAGTACGTTTCACGTTCACGTGTGAGCTTCTGAAACGATCCCATCGCAGCACGACGACCGCGACGGATACGGAGATGCTTCGGGTAGTGATGGCTGCTGTTGAAGGTGCGTGTTAAGCATTTATGTTACTAACTCCCGCTGACTTCCTTTCGCAGAGTGAGTCCCTTGTTCCCTTTCACATCCCTCTGTCCCCTCCTCTCTGTCTCTGGTCTTCCGGTTCACACGCTCATCTAATCTCGACACCCTCGCTCGATTGGTGCTCGTAGTATTGTTCTGCGATCGAACCTCGAATCGGCGGCGCTCATTTAATCATTTCATTTTTCATTGTTGTTGTTCCGTATTCCCCTTGTGGGTGGACATTTTCTTGCCCTCGCTGTATTTTGGGTCCCCGACCTGGATGGTTCCGTTCCTTTCCGTTTTCGCTCTTTGCTCGCACGCTATGACATCAAACACTCACATTCCGTTTTCTTTTCTTCTATAATCTCAATCCAAATCCGGAACTCATGATGTTTGAATGCGGAACGCCTCGGCGAAATGTACGTGAACATGAACGACATCACACAAATGCAATGCGCGGGCTCGGACGATTTCGATTAACAGTGCTGTCATAAGCCGAAACGTGAGTGGACCCTTGATCAGCGAGATGCATCCCGCGTGGATGCAGTCACACCCACGGGCGAAAGTTTAACTGATGCGGCGGCTTCCGTTTTTAGATCCGCGATATTATGCTCTGAAGATTCGGAAACGAACTACGGCCACGCCGCGTCGTCGGGAAGGAACACACCTTCGCCTGGGAGGCTGTTATGAATTTCCGGTCCTAGGCACTCATCACTTCCTTCCCGATCCCGCAAAAGTCGTCCAGCCGCTCCGAGCCCGCATGACGATGCGATCGGTGGCCTGTCAACTGTCAACTGTCACGCTTATGGTGCTCCGGCATCGACGCGGCCGGCATGCCTGCGTTTCTTTGCAAAGTTATTGATCGTCCACGAATCTTCACGACTTCTCGTTCGGTTATCCTTCATGTTCTCTGCTCTCCCTCTTGCTTTAAAGTATTGTGTCGTCGGACTGGTGCCATGACGACTTGTCGCACGACGATACGTTTTATTTCCGCGTACTATACCAGCTCCTTAATTTTCTTCGACGGTTCATTCCAAGGATTGTCATCCAGCAAGCCTTTGCCTTTTATTATTTCTTGTGGTCGTCCATGCTAGACCGGCGTACCTACCGCTTTCCCCCGACCCAGACAACCCTCGTTCCGATTCACAGCGTGCTTTCGGCTGGTTTACGTGCATGTTTTTGCTTCGTGTGGCCGCGCCTCTGCTGTTCGTCTTCAACCCCGTCATCATATTGCATCATTCCTCCTCTCTGTTTCTGGACGCATACATATTTCGAATAGCCTGCAAATGCATACATTAAATACCTTGCCCTGCCGCTATGATCTTGACATATCAGTCTTCGTCTCGGCGCTTTGGCGCGGCGGCTGCCATGCAGGTACGCATAGGTACGCATGCGCTCACGATCATCAGTTGGAATAAAACATTTCAAGGACACATGTCACTCGCATCACAGAAGATTACCAGGCGCCCATGTTGCCCGATGAGGGATAGCATGCGACGTTGGAGTTTTGCCAGCGAATGGTCGTTGGCTCTTTTTCTAAGAGGCGCCAGGCAGCCGTGCATGCCGAGGCTTTTGATGCAGCCTGCGAAGCTGGAGTTTGCGGACCCGGGATGAGCGGCTTGATGTCGGAGGCTGTCGGAGGAGCACAGAGTAGCAAGGTACGGTTCTCACATGGCCCTTTCCCGCAGGCTCCTGCAGGTTCAACTGTCAACCTTGAAGCTAAATTCGGTTCTGGGCGTCAGAAGGTTCTCCGTCATTTTCTGATTGTTCGGCGGGTGTTGGAGATCTGAGATGGTGTTCTGGCGTGTTGCAAACATACACTACTACTGGCTTTTGTGATCTATGATAGTGTTGCCATGTGTTTTCATGGACGCGCATATCCATTCCAGAGCAGTGCTATTCCATTAATACCTCAGATGTCCATTCAAATGAATCGTTCAATAGCCGCAACGGCGTAGCCTTGGTGGCGCAAAGGCGTAACTGTTTCACAGCCGAAACCCAAAAGGCAGCTCCGAAGCCCTTTGACCAGTTATCAACGAAGAGAAAACGTTTTGAAGTCTATGGATCGAAGGCGTGCATATCGCACTCTAAGCCAGTGGAGGCAAAGGGTGGCCAAGAGAGGCCAAGCCCCAAACGCATGTCTACGCTCCGCCGAGTCTGATATATCGAAATTCGAGGCCGAAATGCGGGGTAAAATTACGGAATACTTACACGTTTTTAATTGTCCCTTTTATGAGCATCGGGCCCCGAACATAGCCGAACATCATGAAGATAAGCATTGTAAGCGAAGAGATGCGAATTTGCCTGAACTTGCCTTGCCCAGATGCCGTCGGCTCGTTGACGTCGCGTCATGATAGGTCGTGATAGTGCGGGGAACGGGCGGGTGCATTTGAACCTCGTCGGCGGATCGAATGATTCTCATCCGTGCGGACCACCAGCACAGACCAGCACCGACTCTTCGATGAGCATGAGGATAAGGATAAGATGGGGTCAGGTTCTGCTACCTCAAAATGCTTCCCGAACGCCGGTCACATAGCTTTGGTGATGACGATGTTGAAAGCACTCGAAAACAGATCCGTACCATGGCATGCATATGGATGACCGATAAGTTGGTGAGAAGCCGCCGGCTAACCAGTGAACAATGATGCTGATGGGCTCCTTTGAGTTCATCAAAGTTCATCAAGAACACCTGTAGCGGATGCTAACGGAGGCCGTGTTGCTGTGGCACGCACCTCTGGGCTGCATTTGCATCATCTATCGAAGTTTAGCTATAAGTAGATTTAACGATGGTTTACCCGTAAACCACGATAAAGGCAACTGATTGACCTACATGATAGTAGTGTGCCTGCCCGCAAATAACGCGTCCTCAGTCTTTTTCCTTCATCTCGAGACTGTAACAAGTCAACACATGATGAACTTACTCAAGCCGCAGTGAGCACCAAATAGCCAGGAAAACCGAGGGAGCGCTCGTCATCGAGGTTGCTATTAGGGGGTCATCTAGGATCCATACTATTCAACGACAACATACCATCTTAATGGATTTCCGGAGTTCATAGAAGTCGACGTACGCCAGACTATGTCACAGACATGCCCAGGGGTTGCGCAGCACTTAATGCCGAGTCCTTGGTATAAATTTAGCGGAATGCGCAGCTTTCATAGGCGCTGTTTCAAAACTAAGAACTGGGGATCAGATTTGGTCTGTTGAGTTACATGTTTATGAGGGGACACGCTCCCCCTGGGATCGATTTGGAAAAGGATGGCACATCACCTCTTTGAGACCTGACGTCGATAATTCTCGATGAGACGGAGGCAAACAACTGGCGCCTCGCAAGGGCCTCCAGTATCCAACCGAGTAGCCAGAGGTAAACCACTGTGGTCTGCTATTAGCGTATGAGGATTCTGCACCCCTAGTTGAGATTGTGCATAGGATATCTCGCAGCTCCTCAGAAAGTGAGAGTGTGCAAGATAATCTTGACTTGAAGTCGAAGTCTGAGTTTAAGTTGCGGTGGAGCGGAATTTATAGGGGCTGTTGGCGCGTGTCCGTCATTCGCGTGTGCACAACTCAGTCAGCGCCTCGAACTCCTCCCCCCAACAGAGACATTTCCGCGTTGCAAAACATGTCCTCAATTGGTCCTCAAATCCCTTCGCATTGTCTTCCCACCGTATCAAAGGAAGAGTCTAACGATGCAGAAAGCGACGACGGCAGCTATGGTCCTGCTCCTCCCACATCCATAGGACCACAAATACCTCAGCATTTACCGGCGTCGACTTCAAGTGGCAAAGCGGCCGATGAGCAGGAGCAGGAGGAGAGTGACGATGATGGCTACGCCCCAGCTCTGCCACCAGACCTTGTAGCTACTCGTAAAGCCGGGCCTTCGTCCCCTCCTCTAAAGTCCTCTGCTCCATCCGTTCCTACTGCAGCCACATCATCAGATACCTCTCGAAGACCAGTTGGCCCATCGTTTCCGTCCTCTTACGACGACGACTCTGATGATGACATCGGTCCCAAACCGCTGCCGGCGTACGTTGGCCCTGCACGAGAGAAGTCGGGCGTGGAGGAGTTCCTGGAGCGTGAAGAGCGCATACGGAAGAAGAGGGAAGAGGAAAAGAATCCGAAAGAGAAAAAGCTGCAGAGGGACGAGTGGATGTTGGTTCCGCCAAAAGCAGGAGACCTACTTAGTTGTGCGTTGTCTCTACCCTTCGTTCGCTATGTCCACTAACGTCACCCGTGCTTTCGACCTTCAGCTCTGGACCCGACGAGAATGAAAGCGCGCCAGTTCGCCAAGTCGTCTGGCCCCTCAGCCCGGGACACTGGGTCATCGCTTTGGACAGAAACTCCGGCAGAACGACAGCAGCGCATCGCCGACGAGGTAGCGGGACGCAAGCGACCGGCTGCAAATGCTGAGCCTGAAAGCCACGACGACGACGAATCACGGAAACGTCGGAGAAGGGACGCGGAAATCAGAAGAGGAGTCGAAGAACACACCGTACGTCCATCAGATATCCCTTGAAGTCATCTATTGACGTCCATTCTCAGCGCAAAGCCCGAGGCAGCGCACTCGTCGACGCTCATGCGTCTTCTCAGTCCTCGAAACCCGACGACGGGGAGCCTCCTGTCATCTGGGACCACGCCCGAGACATGTCGCTCGGCGGGCGACTTATGGATGACTCGACACGGAAGAAGATGTTGCAGGACGCAAAATCCCTGGGCGACAGATTCAGCGGAGGGAAGAGTGGAGGCTACTTGTAAAACAGGGATGGTATCTAACATCGTTTATCGCTGCATACGTCTGAGCTTCTCAATGTTCCATGCCGCCTCTCCTTTCATGCTCGTCTTTTGAGGTCTCGCAACGACTTTTTCTCATTAGAGGTTTCTCCTGCCAGCTGAAGCTAACCCCTTGGCTAACCCACCTCCTCAACTTAATTGATGCTCTAAACTAACCTCACTTTAGGTTTAGGCTCAACGGCGGCGGAAGTTTCTCCGCCATTTGGATGAAAGGCTTCAGCATCTCGAAGCCGACATGTCATTAGCCGCTAAATTATACGCCGTCCATTCAGGTTCTCATGTGATAATATCAGCGGAGACCTTGTTCTGGTCGCCGGTGATTAAAGGACCTGGCAAAGCCTGTCCGCCATCTCTTCAAGACACTGCCACTTTCCCTCCCCGCATTCGAAGTGCAACTTGTTGCCACTTCCCATCATGCGCTCATCACAATGTAGAAGATACCCGCGGCATACAGTACTGTTGGATCGGAACAATCGCATCGCCATGAACAGACCCCCTTCTCATCAGGCTGGCTAACGTCTTGGGGCAACCTAAAGCATACCCGAAGCTCCAGCCCACGACGCACCCGAGCCCAAAATTCGATGCCATGCAACATGAGTGACGCCAAGGCCGTTCACCGCGAATCTTTCCCCGTTGTTGCAGACTGGAGGTGGCAACCCTCAACTTCCCTATCATGTTCGTGCGATTCACGAGGCTCTGGTTCGTCGGTTTGCTTAGCCCATCCAACGGTTCCCGCGCATGCCCGCGCTACATCTGCTGCTGGAGCTACATCTTTGGGTACATCAGTATGTCCCAGGGTTCATTTTCGCTTTGCCTACTTCAGCGGAGCCCTATAGGCGCATTTACGCGACATGATAAACGACTGCTCGGCCTCAATCCCCGGTGTAGAAACGCAATCACCCGTCTCAGACTAGGTGCATTTGAGGGAAACGACTTGGGTTGTCTCTGTAGCGCCACTCCCAAGTTATGTGCGGAATGCGAGGTTACCAACGGCCTTGTTTTCATATTCATCAGTGGTTAGTTCCTTGTATATCCTTCTATTGGAGCTGTCTAGCTCTGCTTTGGTCTAGTCCTGCTTTGGTTGTGTGTTGTTTCCATGCTCGGTTTGCTGTTGTTCTTTATTTCCGAAGAATATCCGCAGTGGATTCCTGCTCACTGCTTTGTCCAAGCGCAGTATATAGGAACGTGTGTGGCATGCATAGCTCTTCACAAGTCTGCGGCGGGTTTTCTCAACTTTGCACTGTCCGTCTCGCAATTTACGATACCTGCTCTGCGGACAGGCATGCTAACGAACGGAGTTAGCACCCTGAAGGTACGGTACGACCCATTATCATACCTACTTTATCATGCTTGTTCTGACGGCTCGCAATCAGACCATCAGCGCGGAAGGTCACACTCGCCTTCGCACCTTTATACTTGACACTCGACCGTCGATCTAAGAAGTAAAGGTACCATGATCGATCGGATTCCCCCAGAAATCACTGCCACGATCCTCGCGCATCCCGGCATAACTCCCGAGGATCTCCTCAGCCTCGCGTGCGTCTCTCGTCTCTTCAATACCTTTGCCCTTCGCGAGTTCTTCGTTGGGCGTGCGGCGCTATATGGCGACGTTGACACCCCGCAGTGGATGTCCTATCCGGATAGAGCCCCATGGGTGAAAGTGAACCCCGAGGGCATGGCTCTAGTATTCCGGGCGCTGACCATCGCACTGGACGTAACGTGGTGCGAAGGGATTGAAGCTATATGCAGCGATGTACGAGAAATCAGGATGGTTACAAAGCTAATAACGCGCCTGGCGATCAAGGGTATCGCTCTCAACGTAATCGTGATTAGTAACGATGTGCTAGACAAGATCGGAGCTTTGGTGGTAGCGGCCAGTCGTTACCCTCTGCGGCGACTGTCTATCAATTTTCCTGCGAAGGAGTTTTGGGGGAGTGATTTGGACGTCATCTCAGAGGAAGAGCTGGCTGGTGTTATGTCCAGAACAGTAAGTCTATTTTCCTTCGCTTGTGAGCTATTTCAAGACTGTCATGCAGGTCACTCCGAGGTTGAATCGATTTCATACGCAGCCGGCTTATGGTCCTTCGATGGAGTCAAACCGATTCAAAATGGGGTATGAGCAAGGTGGCTTCTTCAAACGCCTCCACCCGTTGACAACTCTGACCGAGGCAACGTTCGACTCGCCTATCATGCTCATGCCGTTTACGGCTCGCTGGCTTATTGACTCTCTGAACGCTTCGAGCATCGACACCTTTGAGCTTGGCGACAAGATTGCGACGGATGCGAGCTGTTGTTGGAATCACGTTCTCCAGTATCTCGCTCTGCCTCGCCTCAAGGTCCTCATGCTGAACCTGAAAGTTGACAAACATGGTCTTTTCTACGACTTCATCTCGCGACACCCGGGTGTCGTCGACCTCTCCTTCCGCGATCACGACTTGAGCGATCTGCGTCTGAGCCCAGATGCAATTCCCCGACTCTCAATCCTGCGTGGCTCTCCCCGTGCTCTTCAGGGATTCATATCCACACATAGTCTCACACAGGTCACCCTAGTCGAGATTTACGTGACGTCTGAAAGCTTTCGAGAATGCCTAGCGCAGCTTGCAGCTCCCACATTCAACCACGGCATCAAGCTTAAACTTAGTTTCAAAACGGTTCATCAAGCAGTTTCCCTCCTGCCACCATCCAAGCTAAAGCCACGGAAGCATGTCCAAATAGTGACCGCCCTCGAGATTATAGCCAACCGCGAGGTGGTCTCGCCTTTCGATATCGCACGCCTTCCGGTCTACGCGACCCTCCTTCCCCCCTGGTTGGCATTCTTCCCAAATGCCCAGACGCTCGACTTGGACCTTTGTTCGAAGGAGACTGCAGAGATATCGTTGTTACAGCATTTGATCACAGGCATACAACATAAAGCCTCCCAAGTACAAGCCTTGAGCCTGTACTCCGGTGGGCCAAGGCGAACTCCATTGGAATGGATGGATTGGTACGGAAAGAGAAGGTAAGATATGTTGTGGGTGTGAAAGTACAATCGTTGTAGTGGATTTGTGTACGAAGCTTTCAAACGTTGCTAATAGTACTCGCTTCTGACGGAATGTTTTGTCTCTGACCTGAATTGGGCCGGTCTTGCGGAATCAGAAATGCGATGCAATAAGTGGCCCACCGTCACTTCAGGATAGGGTGAACCACGATAAACAGCGCTGTCTGAGTACGCCTATAAGAGTCCCGATAAATTCATAATTACCAGATACGTCCCCACTCAACACATCACGGTCCACCAGACAGCGCAAGAATCCTCGCAGCCGCCTGCTCCGCCGCAGACATGAGTGTCCCTTGTGGGTTTCCCGTTGGAAGCTTCGGGATAATTGATGCGTCAACGACAAACTACACCCCATTGTCGCTTGAGTTGCTGCCCAACATTGTAAACGTAGATGCTCACCAAGTTGTCTGTGCTGAACACTTTCAAGTTCTCATCGACAACAGCCAATGATGGGTCCGAGCCAAGTTTAGTGGCCCCAACCCAGTGGTTTGAGCCCATCGCGTCCGGGCTATAATTGTCAACGTAGTCGTGAAGGGTGGTTGTGTTATCAGGCATGATCAGTGTCAAGCCTTCGACTATAAGATGCTTCGTTCAGTTACTGATTGCAATCGAGCGAGAAAACTGTACCCCGGCTAACAGTGGATATAATATCCTCGAGAGCCTGGATAATCACGGCTTTATCGACCGGGTCTGTCAGCCACGGGTTCACGAGCGGTGTACCTGTAAGGCTAGTGTTGATGCCGAGACGGCCACGGGAGGTGATACCCCAGGAGAGGTAGGTGGTGACAGTGAAGGTCTGACTGGCATTGTAAGCGTAGCTCGTGTTCACCAATGAGGCGCCGGGCCTGGAGGTGCCTTGCATCTGCCAATGCCATCGATCAGAGGGAGGCCAGCGAGAGAAATGCGGCACGGAAGGACGGACATAGCGCTGTTGGCCGTCTGATCCGGTGTACGAACGCCAGAAGTTGACCTTGGGGGTGGTACCTGCCAGGACGCCGGATTGGTCCTTGAGATACTGACGAGCATCAGCAGGGCGTGGGTCGGACCAAACATCAGCCCAGTCATCGTATGCATCGATCGAGGGGTGCGTGAACACCAGCTATACAAACACCGGCCGTCATTTTCTCGGCGAATCGTATTCAAGTGGGAGGAGAAAAGCGTACATTGATAGACGGGTTATCCGAGATGTTCATTCCAACTGGCAAGTTGATATAATCTGACTTGGGCGGGAGGTTTTTAGCTGCCACAGCGTTGCCCTCAACGAGAGAGATCATATCGCTCGGGCCGATACCACTTTGAAACAGAATGCGAGCGGTACCGTACGAGCCTGCCGAAAGGATGACGCGGCCGTTGCTCGTGATCGGGATGATCCCGTTAGGGCCGAGCGAGGTATCGTTTGTCTGCACAGCAGTGATCGTGGAGCCGTTGCGCACGACGTTGGAGACGAGTGTGTGGTCCTTGTAAGCGAAGTTAGAGCGCTTAAGCGCTGTTTGAAGGTAGGTCGCTACGGGACCGCCACGTTTGCCGTTCAAGAACTTGAGGCACAACTTCAGATGAAGTACGAAGAGAGGAGAAGAAAGAGCTTACATCGAAAGCACTATACCCGAATACATGGTCTTTCAAGTTTGGACTGTCGTTGATTGTGATCTGGGAGTACCCCTGTCCCTGAAGGAGCTGCGCAAGAACAGGTTCGAGCTGCTCAAGGTAGCGCTTTCCGTCCGTCGAAGGGTGATCTGTGCTTGGCAGACGCTGCACCATCTTTGATGTATACGGCGTATGGTTTGTCCAGCTCTTGGGCCAGCCATTCTCGACGGAGAAGTCCTCGTCGGTCGGATACCAGTACAGACCACCATTGATGGAAGTGCCGCCGCCAAGGAGACACCCAGCGTAGACAGTGATATCTAGCAAGAACTCGTGGGGTTTGGGATCGGTGTATCTTTGAAAATAGCCTACCATCGCACCAGTACCATGGATTGGTGACCGTGAACAATGACTCGTAGAGGTCAGGGATGTCAAACATCGTCAACTGTGTAGGAAAGGCCTGAATGAGCTCTGTCTGGGGGGGGGGTGACTCACGTTGGTACCCTGGGCCCAATCCGCAATGTACGTTCCCCCAGTCTCGCCTGTGCTAGGTCCGCCGCGCTCGAGTAGGAGCACCTTCTTTCCCGCCTCTGATAGACGGTCTGCAGCAATGATACCACCAGGGCCAGCTCCAACAATGATATAGTCATAAGGTGTACCAATGACAGTGGGTGCTAAAGGCTTGCTCGCGGAGGATCGTGCGAGGGCTGCTTTAGAGTTACCATAGGAGTCAACGCAGGATCAGAGCTCTATAACGACGGCAGATTGACATAGTTCTTACCGGCACTCGCGAAAGCAAGGCTGCCAAGCAGGAGGCAGGGCAACATCCTATTCCTGGTGGAAATTCCTGGTGGAAGGTGGAGGTAAGCTCATCCCATGATGAGTGACTTTTTATAAGTCTGAAGACGGCAGGCCCAAAACGGGGAGTGCCCATCGCAGACGAGAAGGCAGCACTGCATGTCAAATGCCGTTTAGGAGGTGGGGAGTACCTGAAATGTTGATTCGTCTCGAACGGCGCGTGACGGAGATGCTGCCGTAAGACGCCTTTGGCTTGTCTGAGTCGTCAGGTGGACCTTCCCTGAGCTCATGTATCTTGGAGACATCTAGCTACACAGAAATAAATCAACAGCTGAGCGCGATCAAGTTTGGAAGGGATGTATGGCACCTTGTTTCGTTCGCCGGAGTGAGGAGAGTCAGGCTCTCGGACGGAAAATCGCGTGGTGTGCTCAGATGACCTTTCCCACACTTGTACCAACGCGTCGGCTCTCGGAGAACTTGAATGTCAATAAAAATAAACCATAGCTATTGTTGCATGCTCCCTTTCTACTGCAGTAATGTTCCGCACTGATGCTCTGCATTAGGTGAGTTTCATAGCCAAGAAAAGTCATTACAGCGCCACCCATCGGAATTCCGCACAGAACCTTCAAAACATCACGACGGGCTCAACGTTGCTGATTTTGGCACCATGATCACGAGTTGACATGCTTTCTAAAACCCAGTTTTACCTATCCTATTACTGAAATCCATGTAGCCATTTCGTAAATGTGAGGTGAGGCCTGCGCCCCTTTTGAGTGAACTGTTTTCACCAAGTTTTTACACACTGATGATCGCCGTGCTGACACCGTTGGTATCTTTGTGTGGCATGGATTCGACGTTATGCGTATCAGCATGAATGGCTTTAAAGATGGTCACAGTAGACCATAGAGCAAACTTGACTGGAATTCTCCGGATCCTATAAATTCCGGCATCAGCTGAAGACAGTAAATGGCTTAGAGCCTAGCGGATTAGACACAAAGCACTTGCGATTACGCCGTGTGTTACTGCATTAATTGTAGTTACAGTATTTGAGTATCAGTCTACTACGAAGCAGAAATGTTCGAAATGGACCAACAAGGGGAACGCATTCAAAATGACCGTAAGATCACGGAACTAAATGGTCCTTGAAGGTAAAAAGGATAGCTCTTATCCCCGCTCGATTAATCAGCCAACGCCTGCTCAATCTCTTTGACGCTCCTCCGAGGCTCAAACTTGGCATGGAATGGCAGCGGGTGCGAGATCAGCTTATCCTCGTATGCTTCCGGATTAATGGGCTTCGACGGATCCTGTGAGACGCGGAACGCCCAGAAGAGCATTGACATGGTCACGAAGAGCGACTTTAGAGCGACGTGCTGCCCAGGGCATACACTGCACGGCGGTTGTCAGTACGCTAGCGTTGACGAAGTGTGATTAGAGAGGGACGTACCGTCTGCCAAAGCCAAAGGTGAAGAACCTGATCTCGCTCGGCGATTTGAGGCTACCTTTATCATTAATCCAGCGCTGGGGGTCAAATTTGTCTGGGTCGGGGAAGGCGTCGGGGTCGCGGGAGAGCGCCCTAGATATCTCGTTTGGTCTCTGATGCGATTAAGCTAGAGGTCAGTGATGAAACGCACCAGTGGTTCCCGATGATCGTGGCACCGGCCGGGATATGATACCCATTCCAAACCATGTCAGCCGTGGATTTGTGTTGGATTCCTGTTGAGATATGTCAGATGATCACTTGCCATTGCAATCTCGGAGACAGCTCACCCAGAGTAATGACAGGTCTCCACCGCAGCGCTTCTTGGATGAACGCGTCGAGTTGAGGAAGCGTGTGCATGTCCTCTGGAGTTGGCACTACATCTAGCGTTAGCATCATTGGAGAAATTAGTGCGAACAGCATTCTTACGTCTGTTGCCGATGACCTGATCTATTTCCTCCATGACCTTTGCTTGTGCCTCGGGGTGGCATGCAGCAGCGAGGATAGTTGTCGACATGGCGATGAAGGTCTGACATATATATTAGCTGAGCATGTCCCAATTAATGCGAGAGCAATTCGCCTTACCGTGTCTGCTCCTGCCCCGTAAAGCGTCCCAGCGAGATATGCCATCGAGTCCTCATCGAGGCCGTGTACGTCGGGATTCTCCAGCAGATACCTGACAAATGAGGGATCGTCCGATCCGTCCTTCTGCTCACATTCAACATTCAACAAAATATTATAAGATACAAGACCAAAGAACGCACCAAAGAAACACGCGTCTTATCAACTTGCTCCCTAAAGAGCGTAAGCTCCTCAGCGTGCCATTCTGTGAGCTCTTTTGCGTATCCGGGGACCTTCCAGAGAAAAGGTATCTGATCCGCCACGTAGGTGCCGGGCTTGAGCGCCTCGTTGAGGCGGTCGAGGGCCGTGTGGATGCGCCTGACATCGGGGTCTTCAAACGAGGAGGGGGCGGACTTTCCGTACGTGATCTTAAGAATAATCGTTGCCGCGTAACTATTGAAGATTGTTCAATAACGGGGAGTGATGTTAGAAAGATCAGCCCTACAGTTCAGCATGATGTTGGTGGAGCTCTGGCTTGTTAAGAATGTTGCTGATGTACTGTTTGGCAGATTTGAACTGGAGCAGGGAGTACGACTTGACCATGCCAGGCTGCAAGGGCTCGTGGACGGCTCTAGTCAGGATTTTGCGATCAGTTAAAGCTACGGAATACATGTGACAGACAGAGATACCCACTTCCGCATGCGCCTGTGCAGCTCACCGGAAGGCGTGAGGAGCATACGCTTTCCGTCCGAGAGCTTGACACCAGCAGGGACATTGTCAGGCCGGCTGAGCGTGATACCGCCGTGCTTCTCGAGTATGTCGATGGCAGCCTGAGGAACTCTCGACTGTCAGCCTATAGTATGGTCGACTGGGATGAACAAATATACCTGAATGCGCCCAACAACGATGGTGACGTTCCGTCCTTGTTGGATCGAGAACACGGGTCCATACTGGGTCGTCCATTCGGCGAGGGCTTGGTGAGCGCTGCAAGGCCAATATTAGCGGGGGAGATATCGACATGAAATAGGGGGGTATACGAACAACTCGTGAGGGATGGGGCTGGCCCACGGCCACGTCGCGGGAGGACCGGGCGGGAGGACGGAGACGCGCTTCGAGTTCTCAAGGGCCTTTTTGAGGAGGAATGCCGCGACAGCGCCAGTAGCAACAAATTCGATTACATGAGTACAGTCCATATCAATGGGGTGGAGATTTGGGAGATTGCTTCGAGTTCAAGTTGAGGAGATGGTTCGATCTGAGCGAGCTCGGCCTATGGCGACAAAGGATGTTATATACTCCTACGACAGGAAGTGCGCGAAACACCTACACTGCGCTATACTAGGGCAGATGTGATACGAGATTTGACGATATGTCCTTCTAGCATTGTTTTGCGCTGCGAGCGAAGGTGAACCAGACCGCCCGGCGCGGAAATGTGTGTCGGTGCTGCGACTCCTATCGGACGGACTCAATAAACCCCTATTATGGGCTGCTCCTCATCATCTTGATTTACGTTGCTGGAGCCTGAAGGGCACATGCCGTAGACGAACACCTTTTTTGAGAGGAGCATTACCAAGCGATCCCCGTAAGATGCCCATCGACGCTATATGGGTCAACTTAGCTCCCACCATGACCGGATGACGGCGACATGCTCACACAAACGCCCACATGTTGAGAAACGGATGTTGGGTAGCCGGAGGCCGGTAGATCATAGCGTAAAGGCTCTTCACGCTCAGAAGCTCAGAAGCGGTCCAACCATAAGTGAGATGAAGGCCAATGATCCCTGCATATCGGAGTTTTCGGTTGACGGCGATGTTGTTGGCGGATGAGAAGAGCTGTGTTTGACCTTTTTGTTGTGCAAGAGCTTTCGGATTCAACACCGATAAATAGCCCCTATTTTTGTTGGGCCTGTGTCTCCGAAGTTTAGAATATTCTACTCGACAATCATTCCTTACAACCTTGCGCCTACCTGACATTTACTCAGCTTATGCTTGAGACAGGGTCATCCGAAGCACATTAGCGAGACATAGCAAATGTGGATCCTGGCCTTCGTCCCGTGCCCAGTTCGCATTGGCTGCCACGCATACATTCATAGCTCAAGCCTGCCTCGCGCGCTGGCCCCTCAGATTGACGCCGAGAAGGTGCAATCGTCCCATTTCTTTGCTACATCTCTTCAAGCTTCATGGATTTCATCAGCTCGCGATGTGCATGCTACATGCGTGACTAGTGTGCAAAGGAGAAGGGTATATTATGGCAGTGATGTAGTGCTTACAGTACATGAGGACGTGCTCGTCGTAGAATGTGTCTTGAACCATGGCGAGCGCATGAACCTCAGCTCGTAACGCTGGGAGGCGGCACTTCCCCAGATATGTCGGGGTCGGCATGATCCAGCATCTCGCGAAGCACAGCTGCAACCTGGCCGTGCAGCTCCTCTTTGGGAAGTACAATCGGGACAGAGTACAAGTCGGACAGAAAGATGAACGCTCACTTGTACGGTTCACAGCCTGCACGTACTCCTCGTTCGCCTGCGTCATCTCCTCCTGCAGCGCTTGCAGCCGCTTCGCCTGTTCCTCCTCCGGCTCGGGTATTGGGAGCGACTGAATGAGGTACTCGACTTGCTTCGCTTTGACGATGAGATCATTAACTAGCTCTTTCTGATTCGCTGTGATAAGTATGCTCAACGTGAGGTTCTCGGGCAGAGTCGACTAAGTTACCTTCGTAGACATCTGGTGGGTCAAACTTCTCCGAATTACGCTGCTTGGTGACGGGGATGTCCTCGCTGACCTGCAAGAAGTTGGATCTTGACGTCAGGTAGGCGAGGCTATTGGTCATTATCGTCAAGAGCTGGACGTCGCGTATAGCGCATCGGTATGAGACCCAGGGTTAGGGATACGGTGCGCACCTGCTGAATCTCATCCTGAAGCTGGGTTATGCGGTCCATGTGAGATAGTTCCGGGAGCATTGCTTGGGCGAATCCCAGCCTCGTGTGTATATAAAGCGCTCGTACTGCAGGAGCGAACGGGATGAGGCCGCCTGACTATGACCACGGAGGGAAAGCCACTTTATATGGTGGCGGTGCTAGCTTGGTCAGCGAAGCTTCGTGAGAGTTCCGGATGTGGCTGTGCCGGGCGCTTAGACGTCTGCTTGACTTCCGAGTCCCTGTCTCTTCACCTTCACTTCGTCTTCACTCTTCATTCTCTCGTTCTCTCTGCTACCATGGGTAATGATGGAGGAAGTATTCCGGATAGAAGAGATCTCGTGAAGGCAAAGCCCAAAGCTGAGCAGGCTGATAAGGCCAACCAGGTCCGCGCCCGGTGGTTCTTCTGTGCTCTCTCCAAGGTTTGTCTCGCCTGCCGCCCGAAGATGTGCTGACTAAAACCATGCGATATGCGCCCACAGAAACCTCTTGCAGAGCCTATCGTCTCGTGTGCCCTCGGGAAGCTCTACAACAAGGACGCTATCATAGAGTATCTGCTCGACAAAGCGGCTTATGGAGACGGTGAAGAGATATGTGGGCATATTCGGTCATTAAAGGTACGTTGTCGCCCCACTCTCTCTCCTCTTCATTTCGTATCTCGTCTCTTATACCCTCATCAGGACGTGAAGCAGCTTAAGTTTACCCCACGCACCGCCCCCGCCGCCGCCACCGACCCGTCCAGCGGCGAACCCGCCAAGTTCGTCTGCCCGCTCACCTTCCGCGAGATGAACGGCGTCCAGCCCTTCTCCTACATCCACCCTTGCGGCTGCGTCTTTTCCCAGTCCGGCTTGCGCACCGTCACTGCATCTGGCTCAAAAGACAAGAGCAAGGACAAGGAGGGCGAACAGTTCGAGGTTTGCCCCCAGTGCGCGACCAAGTTCTCGCTCGTTGCCGACGTGTTTACGATCAACCCGTCTGAAGAGGAGGAGGAGAAGATGCGGGCGGCCATGGAGGCGCGTCGGGCTGCTGAGCCAACGAAGAAGTCGAAGAAGCGCAAGGCGGTGGCTGTTGCCGCCGATTCGGGGACGCCAGGTGTGGAGGACAGCGCGGCACCAGTTGAGAAGAGGGCGAAGAAGAGCTCGTCACCGACGAATGGCACTTCGTCGTCGCCAGCGCCGGCGGGCGGTAGGCCTGTCATCACGACGGCGTCGCGCGGGCTGTCGAGCAGCCTCGCCGCCGAAGAGGCGAAGCGCAAGGCAGGGATGAGCGATGCTGTAAAGTCACTGTACCATGACAAGAACAACGCTCCACGGAAGGAAACGTTCACGACAATGGGTACTTTCACTCGCGTGAGTGTACTATTCCCTTTCCATCGAGATCTATGGTTGCTAACGCGTTCACGCAGTACGCTTAATCCTGAGAGGCGCGGGCTATGTTTCATCATTGATACTTCGCTAGAGTACTTCCATGGCTTTTATGATGCTGTAGTTCCTGTATAGGTGTGTATTTGTATGCCGTAAAATCCGCTTATCGCTGTGTTCCAGAATACTGTTAATCATCTTAATTCTGGAAAACGTGCGAATCGCCATGAGTGCCTAAGGCTGTTCGCTTATTCTCATCACTCGTCCTGCTATCATATTGCTTCTTGGGCTACATTCAACGTGCCGCTTCGTGCATCTCGGGTTGGACGGGCTAAACATCGAGGTTGCTACCTTAAACCACTTATGTTCCCGAGCAGCGCGCTCTTAGGGCTTGCTGTGGAGCCGGCTGTTCCGTTATTTTGTCCTCTATCACCATCCGTTCTGCACCTAAGAGGCCGGTGGACGCATAAAAGTCTCTAAGCCTCCTCCACCGAGCGATGCACCCATCCTACATCTCCCAGCGACTGGATTTGTACTGCACGCTAGAAAGCATGGACAGCGCTGTCCGCACCGATGACCCACCCATATACCACCCCACAACATCCGACGTCCTCCAGCTCAAGCGCCTCCTTGCGTCCCCACCCGTCTCGCTCCCCCTTGACCTCGTCGAACCCATTGTCGACCTGGCGGAGTACTGGCCGCATAGCTCGCTCGACCTTGTCGGAATCGATGTCGTCGCCAGCGGGGAGGACCGTGTTTACGCTCGTACGTCACCGCTCGGTGCACCGGGGACCGAGGGGGAATGCAGGCCGTTTTGGGGCAATGAGCATCTCTTTAGGGGCGGGTATGTGCTGCCTGAGCGGGGGGACTCGGAGACGGATGCGAGGGGTGGGGGAATGCCTTCGTGCAGGAAGGTTATTTGGGAGATCTGGGCGTATGAGCTGGCCGAGGGCGTGGCTCCGGGCCAGGCTCAGAGCGCGTCCGGAACGCAGCTTGGGGTAGGGATGGGCGGGGAAGCGCAGCGAACTCGACAGGCGGAGGACAGTAACAGCGGTAGCAGCAACGGGGACGTGGCCTGTCCATATGCGAACGCGAAGACATGGTTCGACCTCACTATCGAGCGCGCGTCGACGACGCCACCACCTCTCGTGCCAGCGTCGGGCCCACCGGCAACACCAAGACCAGACCGCCCACCGCCCACCCACCTGCAGCGCAACCTTCCCTCGTCCACCATCGGTGGGCCGGCACACTGCCATAGGATAACTCTGCATTATCTCGACACGCCTCCTCCCGGCGAACACTCTGCGGAGGCACAAGAGCTCGAGATGCAGGGGCGAGGGTGGCGTTCCGCCGACGGGGAGCTGGTGAGGGGCCTGAAGTATGGAGACAGGCTGGCGCTGTGGGTGCACGCGAGGGGTACGGGAGTGTTTTGTTTCGTGCAGAGGGTGAGGGTGAAGGTTTGGTGGGCTGTGTGACCTAGTGGCGCAAGGTGTTGGTACTTAGTCACTCAAGCGTCTGGGCCGGACACGGCTTGTCTGATCCAGCGTTGTGTCTTCCATGAGGCAGCTGTGCACCGCATGACGCGTGATCGAAAGTGTTGTTTAAAGAAGATTCGAAGATTCGATGAGTTTGAAGGACGGTTGAGCGTGGGGCAACGGAGAATGTACTGAACCGTGTAAGCTGTGTAGGCAACCTTTCCCCTTGCTCGCCTTGTAACCCACTCCTTCCCGATGGATTCGGTACACTGGTTAGTGGTGGAGCGTACACGTGGACCGTCGGCGAGACATTCCAGCGCGGCGACTGATCTCCGTTCAGTCTTGACAGCTATAAGTACAAGATCTCGAAGGACATGTTAGAACCCTGACGTCCTGTCCACGAGAGAAATCATGCCCCCGCGATATGCCCAGAGACCTCGCCAACTCGCACCGCCAGCCGCCTCATACCAGCCCACCATCGCAGACGTTCTTCAAGTCAAAGAATTTCTCGGCTGTCCGCCTATCTCATTCCCTGTCGAGCTGATCGACGTTCTCCTCGACGATGCGGATTATTGGCCGCACAGCACCTTCGTAATCGACCGGAGCGAAAGTGTTGGATTAAACATATCAGACAAGATCTGGGCCCGCACGCCGACATTAGTAGATTTGTGCTGCGAGGGAGAGGTCTTCGAGGGAGACGACGAAGACCCAGGTATACAAAGCGACGAAGACCTGGGAATACAAAGTGACGTGACGCGGCAGCTCGGAGCCCTGTCACTCGAGCACGATCCGCCCGGTCCCCCAAGCGGAACAAGTATTAGCAACTCCTCATCGCATGAAACCGGAAGAGTTACAGCCAGCCCACGGGGCTCACATCCCTGCCGCAAGATCGTGTTCGAGCTCTGGAGCCACGACCAAGGCTACTCGCACGACACCCACCTCTACGGCACATACGACCACACCTGGACGTGGTTCGAAGTCAGCGTCGAGCATTCCGGAGAAGGATATGGCGGAGCCCGCGCGGCGGAGGGAAAACACCCACTTCATCCTCGGCCGGGACATCTACAGCGAAACGTGCACGCCAAGTCGGAAGATACGCACCATGTCGTCGCGTGGCATTGGCGCGATAGGATCATGAAGGGATCGGCGAAGGCACAAGAGCTGGGGATGCGTGGGAGGGGGTGGAGGTCCGGGGACGGAGTGATTGTGAGAGATTTTAAAAAAGGAGATCGGCTTGTGCTGTGGATGCATGCGCGGTTTCCTGGGTGGATCGGGTATGCAACGAAGGCGAAGGTTCACGTTTATTGGGCTTTATAGCTGAGCTACGGAGGCTAGCAGATATAGGTTTTGGACCGTAGAGGGGTATATGGTGACGTACCAAGTTGAACAAGTACATCAGGATGATGTGCGAGGAGATTATGAGATCATGATTCGAACTCTGCTGAGGCTGGTCCGTCGCAGGCTGGTCGTAAGCAAGGAGGCAGAGATAGGGGTTATTTGCCTATGTTGAATTCGAAAGCTTTTGCATAACAGCGCCAAATAGAATGCTAGCTCAAAATCTTCCCAGATCTTCCTCCGCCACACCAGTTCAAGGTAATTCTTGTGAAGTCGACAGTTACATAAATAGGCGTTCCGCACTTTTTTCTAGGATAACGCATCAGGGAAGAAGATGCAAACCGAGTCGCGGGCTGGCTCGAAGTTCGAACGTGCTGCTGTCCAGCTCAACATTCGGATGTGAGCCGACGTGGAGTGTGGGATGAAGCAAACTGGGCATCCAATAGTTATCGCTTGAAAAATATAATACTCATCACTACTTTACTATATGAATGAGAACGAATCCCAACCTCCTGGTCGAATTTGAACTCACGCTTCCTCTATGTCTTCCCCGTGAACCTACAACCCGGCCCCCTCGGAGCAGTGGCAAAACCCATTTGCTCAAACACCTCAAGCTATGGTATATTGTCTGCTTCATCATCTTGGCTTCCAGATATTATAGCATCTAATGTGATGTTTGATCCCATCGAATGATATTAGTGACATGCGACGATGTGAATTGCTGCACTCGAAGGTCATCGACAATACAATCTCATCCATCAATGCTCTTCAATGAATGTCACCAACACCGTAAGGTTGATCTCTCGTCCCAGCGTACAGTGCGTCACGGGAAAGGCATAAACCTCAAGTGGATCTGTTCCAATGATCTGGCCCGTTTGGAGTGAAACATGTGTGTTATTCTTGTAACATTATTTTTAGGACACCATCACTGAGTGACCATCGAGGTTCTACTGTTGGCTAGCAGACGTCTACATCCTCACCGTTCAAGTGTCCGTTTGGCCGAAGTAGATTGGTATAGTTCAACAATTTCCCCGTTCTGATCTATTCATACTGAGCAGTCGTGCATCCAACGCACTATGACGAGCCCCCAGCCGCGACCAATGCGAGTTCAGGAAACTGCGCATCAAAGGAATCTTTGTATGTACAATGGGTAAGTGATCAAACCCAGTTTGTACATGAGTTTCAGGGTTCAAGGGTTCAAGTTCAAGCTCAAGGTTACAATTGCCGTGGGCGGACACTTGCCGACAACGTGTTTTCTTGTCCATCAGCCCTAACAAGCGACATACCTTCCAGGTTCTCCTAGCGCCCCTGCTATGAATATGGTCGCCTTCATCCTGCCAAGCAAGCTGACATTATGAAGTCATAACAGGCATTCATGCCGTAATGATCGTATAGCGCTCATTGTCGTAGGCGATGCCAACTACGGTTTGACGTTGATCGCCGCCTTGGGGAGCTATAAGGACGCAATTTATGGCAATCATAGACTCCGACCCAAGCCCCCCTCGCCTTATCGGCCTCCACTTCAGCAACACGACCCCGCGATGTCCAACGACACGCCTCAACAGCACCAACCCTCCATATCCGATGTCCTCCTCGTCAAATCCCACCTCTCACAACCACCAGCATCTCTCCCTGTCGAGCTCATCGACATCATCCTCGACGACGCGTCCTACTGGCCCTGCAGCACCTCCACAGTCGAGAAGCTCGACGGCGTCGGCTCCGCACACGGCGGTGTGCTAGACAAGGTGTGCATGCGAAGCCTGCCGCTCGCCGTGGAGGGCACGGAGGGCGAGTCCATGTGGCACGAGCAGATGGAGCAGCACAGGCTAGGTGAACTCGATGATGAGCTCGGAGGAGAGATGCCCGTGTTCGAAAAGACCGGGCCTGCACTTGGACCTCGACCCAGATGTCCCACGGAGGGCGGTGTCCGAGGATACCGGAACACGTCTGGGGCGGGGATTGGTAACAGTGGCGCGGACACGGGCGCGGGTGTGGGCACGACCCAGGAAGCGGGAGCGGGAGCGAAGGTTGGCTGGAGAGATGCGGGGGCCAAAGCAACGTGGGCGCCGCCGAGGGGCCAGTTCCCTTGCCGAAAGATCGAGTTCGAGTTGTGCAGTCGTGATCAGGGATGGTCGTGGTGTCGCGTCCTGGGGAAGACGTACGAGCGCTCGTTCACGTGGTTCGACGCGCTGATCGAGCGCGCTGACGTCGACGACAGCAAGAGCGAGCAACATCCAAACGTACCGGGAGCCTTCCACCTCCAGCGGAACGTTCTCGCGAAGCGCGAATGGGCACAGCACAAGATAACGTGGCACTACCTTGATGCCATCAAGGAGGGCTCGCCCGAGGCGAAGGAAGCGGATCGCATGGGAAGGGGGTGGGCGAGTTTAGACGGGCAAATGGTGAGAACGCTCAAGGCGGGGGACAACATTGCACTTTGGATGCGTTCAAGGCTCCCTGGGTCGTCCATGGACGTGTCGAAGGCGAAAATAACGGTGTGGTGGGCGGTGTAAGGAGGGTTCACGGTTGAACCAGGGGAAAATGGTCGGATGACGGGTGAACTCGATTATCTCAATTAATTGTACGCCAACATAACAACGCTGCGCGTTTGTTATAATACATCTTAGAAGTCCCACAAACAGCTTCATAAGTGCGAGCCAGCGTGGGCAACATCGTTGTTCTCACCTTAGCTATCCCTTTCCTGACATAAACCTCGAATCCGTGCTCATCCTTGCGATAGCGGCCGCTTCTCTCCGAAAAGCTCGAGTCCCGCGTATTCTCCCAGGAGAGAAGTACGGAAGGGAAGCGTCTCGTCCGTCTGGTATAGAGGATTGTCAACGAACTGGGTATATCCGGACTAGTATAGTGGAGTGAGGCTTACACACATCGACACGGGATGGCTATTTTGGAGTTAGGGATGTGGTTCGTCTGGAGGTCAAGTACAGCTTGAAGACAGTTTGGCGCGCCTGGGTCGTATGCGGCTTGGAGGTTTCGACGTTTCCTGCACGAGCTCATAAGTCCGACATCCTGCTATGTTCAAGGGAAAAGACTCACCTGAGGATCTCCGCACAGCGATAGGCCTCTCCCTCGCTCTTCATCGCAATAACGAGATCCACGCATTCCTGCAAACCTCACTTATTATCCGCCGAGCGAGACACAAGTAGCCCAGCCGACTCCTACTCTCGCGTCTCCACTTCCTTCGCCACGCCTCCTGATACTCTTCGCACCATCTTCCCGAAAATCTCGCCAGGTTCATTATGACCTAGTTCAAGGAGTTGTTTACAACGTTCGTGGCTTTCGACAAAGCTATGGATGTGCTCGTGAGCGCGTAGATCACACGGGGGAGAGAGAAGAAGAAGTCGATCTCGCCCAAACCTACGCCTTCTTCAAAAATTCGTATTTGTGCATCAATCGCGTCTTTGGCGAAGCTGTTGAGGGCGTCGTCGGGAGTAGGCAGAATGAGGGATAGATGCGCAAGGTCGGCAAGGGAAAGGATCCGTTCAGATGAGTGTATAGGTCTGCCTTCGGGAATGCCGTCCTCCGCGAGAGAGAGTTCAGCGCTGCTTCGCAGGTCCCTCAACAGTGCGCGCTGACATGGTGAGGAGATTGGAAACGGTGGTGATTGCTCGCGTGTTGGACTCTCTAGTGGAATGGACAAACATGGAGCGTAGTCGCTGGGTGAGAGCTTGAATCTGTCAAGCGCCCAAAGACACATTCGAAATGGATGAAATTGCGAGGAGGTCCTTAGGGACCTAATGGAAAGGTAAAGTTAACAGTCATGCACCATGTAGCGACTCAGGATGAGACGCGCCATAAATATTTAAAGCTCCGGTTTTTTGAGTGACCCGCAACGCTATCCGAAATTTGGTGACCTTGACAGACCTATTTATGCATCATGAGTCCGACTCGCCCACGGCAAGCTCAAGGGAGTTTTATGGAGCGCTGGCATGGGGTTTCCCATCCGTCATCGTTGAGTTTAGCTCTGTATGTTCAGTTTTATTTCCGGGTCACGAAAAATCCGCGCGATGTCGTGGGAGAAACTGCACACACCAACACCATGATGGATCGGCACGATAGGCCGATCGAGCTTCCTTGCTTTCTCCTCGTCCCGGGCTGAGGCAGGCCCTAGGCAAATGAGGACAGCCGCCTCGCCAGACATCCAAACCCTGACTTCCAAACGTCAATCAGCCCTTTCGTGCCTTGCTACACATAGATCACATCCACAACATGCACCACGCTCTGCAAATCAATGAGATCCTCACCAACGTCATTTGGTTTGTCAGCCAACCCGCCTCAAAAAATAGCCTCGCAGCATTGGCTAGAGTCTGTCGCACTTTCTCTGATCCAGCATTGGACGTTTTATGGTCGGATCTCGACAGCTTGTTCCCTCTGCTGCGATGCCTGCCTGAGGACCTCATCACCTATCATCCGAAAACATCAGAAGATCTCCTCGATGATCCCGTAAGTCTCTATGGCTTCCTTGAAAATCCAGTGCTTTGAACACGATAATTTACATGAATTTTGGTTGAGCAGAAATTTGAACTCAGTAGACCCTTCAGTCATAGCGACTGGAAGATTTTCCTCAAGTACGCTGCGCGTGTTGTCAAACTATGCGCAAACGCGGCAGGTCCTGAATGCATCCCTCCCGATGTCTATCTCGCTTTTTGCCTCCTACCCACTACGAATGCGTTTCCGAGGTTGCAAAGTCTGTGCTGGCAAGAGCGTCCAAAAACTGTGGACATGAAAGAACGCTGTATTTTCATAAAACAGTTTCTTGTACCCTCTATAGTCCATCTGGACCTTGACTTCTTCGTCATTGGTCGCACAATGACAATGCACGTCTCGGGACTGGTCTCCATTCTAGGCACGTTATGTCCTAAAGTCAAGGACGTGCAACTTGGCTTGGCGGCTGTCGAGGCTTTTTCCGAAGCTGTCTGTTGCTGGCACGACCTTGAAGATGTACGGTGTTCCACCCGTCTTACTACGACCGCGTTACGACACCTTGCTTCCCTTGATTCGCTTCGAACCCTCAGCTTGCAGTTACCCGTGTCCAACTCGCATCCTACGGACGTTTGGAGCTTATCCAATGGTTCTCTTTTCCGTGGTATCCACTCAATCACTCTCAACGGTGCTGGTATCTTCAGCACATTATCGACTGCAGCTGAGATGGTCAGCTCCCTCCAAGAAAGGCATGTAGCACCTCGAAGATTCACTGCAAGAGCACGTATACCTGATTTTAATGTACTCGCTACTTGGTTTGCTAGAATCATGTACATTCGAGCTGATTCCGGGTTCATGTACCTGTACCTGGTTTACCAATTCATGTACCTGGATCTGAAACACAAAATCATGTCCTTCGTGGCGTCAGGTGGAGTCGGTGTGTGGAGAGGTCTCCACACCCAACAAACAAGTGCAAATGTTGGACTCCGTCTTCTTGCTTTGTCTTCCCTCCCCTCGCGTTCCTTCTTGTCCCCACCCACTCCAGCTCGCTTCCGCCCTCAACCTTCTCTTTTGCTGCCACCCTCACCCTCGTTCCTTTTACCTATTCTTGCTCCTTTCGTCGTTGCTATCGTTGTCGCCATCGCCCTTTCCTGCCCCTTCCTGCAAGCTTCTTGGTCATCATTCCCAAGTCTGGCCACTATGTCAAGCATAAACACGCACCCATCTTTATTTTGAGGCTGGCAATTTTCATTTTTCTGAGTGGAGATGGGGATGTGACGGTGGGTGACCTCACTGCTAGACCACCATGTCCGACGTTGAAATGAACATCGATGAAGGTATGTTTTTGGCGAGTCTGGGTTAACTCTACGCGTTTAGCTGACGTTTGACCGTTTGGTTGCTAGTCGCTGCCGGCGGTGCCGTCCGCTGTGGAGGCCGCGGTTTCCAGAACACTGGTGAGCTTGCGAGATGAAGTGTTCCATTTGCCCTCAACCGCAGCTCAACCGCCCTTTCTTTGTTTCAGGCGGGAACGACAGCACCGTCACTGCCGAGCACACATACGACCGGGTTGAGACCTCGCATGTGAAGGATGATACGCGGGCCGCACGCTGTACGTCTCCCCTTATGCTGACCCATCGTCTTCTGCTGCACGGCACGCTCACTGGTTTTCCGTTTTACGCGCGCTTGTTTGCTTCCACCACCCAACCAACCAACATTGGCTGGCGTCTATTTCTGAACGATGGATCCGAAACGTCTGATTAATTCAACGATGTAGCCGTCGAGGGATGGATCGTCCTGGTGATAACTGTGCATGAGGAGGCGACCGAAGAGGACGTCACCGACAAGTTCGCAGACTTTGGAGAGATCAAGAACTTGCACCTGAACCTAGATCGTCGGACGGGCTATGTCAAGGTACGCCTAGCAAATTTTTGTCGATGCCGCTTCCGCTCCTGCCGACCGTCCCCCTTCATTCATTCTTGCCTGTATGCGCATACATCCGCAGTTCATTGCATTCCAAGTGTTGCGCCTTACGCTACACCCCCACTCCTCCGTCCCTACATCCGTTAATGTTACCCGCCGTCTTTCGTACCTCATCCCCGTTCCCCTCGCGCTTCACTTGAGACGAGACGGACAAACGCTAACTACCCATTCTGTTGTCTCGTCATCTATGAACAGGGATACGCGCTTGTCGAACATGAAACTATGGCCGAGGCACAGGCCGCCATCGATGGCGCGTCTAACACGCCGCTCCTGGAGCAGACGATCCAATGCGACTATGCGTTCATCCGACTGCCACCCACGGGCCCTAAGAAGGGCAGAAGAGAATCAGTGCTCACTAGGGCGCGCCACGCGTGCAGTCGCACGTGTCTGGTGCGACCTTCCATATCTCTCCTTCCCCTCCTTCCTCATGCTACGTGCACGCGCAGGGACTCGTACTCCCCCTGTTACCCTTCTTCATTCACCGGCTTCTCTGGTCCCTCCGTCCCTCCGGTATCTTTCCCATGCAGTGCTTCTAGCGGCGTGGCAGTCTGGGATAGAGAAGGTTGTCCGCTGGAAGGACAGCAGGTGGAGAATGGTTTACGGTAGCGCGCACTTGGGCGTCTGGGGCGGGTCTGACTGCAGGCGCGCGGCTTAGGAGGTCGGGTGTAGTTTTATATATCGAGTAGAATACTGTAGCTACACGACCTTAAGTTCGTCACGCATCACGCTTGGCTGGTTTTGCGAACTTAGGACAGTGTTTGTCACTCATCACAAGGGTTTTTGGACCTCAATATGTGACAAAAAAGTAGAACGGCTATGGGTCTGTTATCTAAGTGTGTCATGCTTTCAAACATTTAACTGGTGTTTAGTAAACCTCTAATAGCTACGAAGAAACCCGAATGCGTCCACAATGACCATACTCATGCTGCGGGAGTAAAATATCGAGCCCTCCCTGAAGATACTAAGGTACATTGAGTTTAAGTCGTTTTAAGTTGGGTATTAAGGAGGCACAACGAGTGTACGGTTATGGCACCATGGTTAGAGTGCTGTAAAGACACTTACTGGGCATATGAGAATCCAGTGCTTATGACCAACAGGCGACAGTCTTCCATGGCAATAGAGTTCACGTTCTTGAAGCTGTAGAATGTCATGATTTGGCTGCTACTCGTCACTGGGACGACAATATTATCACGGCTCTGGGGGCTAATGACTTAAAATTTGTAGATTCCACCGCTTCAGTCAAGCTCGAGCCCGAAACCTGCGTGGTCGGAAACCTTTTTGGGACGTCACGCAGGGTGGGTGAAAACCCTTAGTTCAAGGTCACGCGTTAGCCAGACATTTGAACTATCGTCTAGGCTAAACTTGATTCTCGTCACATGTCACGCAAATTTCTTTTGAACTTAAGGTCGTGTAGCTACAGTAGTCGTTACCTATAAAACTACATGAATGTCATCGCATTTGCAGTTATTTTTACTTGTTTTTTTCGTGTGATAATCACTTCAAGTTGCCATTAAAACTATTAACTTCGTGTTCAGGCCCACCCCGTCGCCTCAAAAATCATGTCCTTTTGACCATTAGAAAGTACATTGAATCATCCGAAAACGTCCATAGTTGGATCTCGGCAAAGTCCATTACTCTCATGAAACATCTACATTATTACTATACTCCGAAGACATGAATATTACATGAAAACTACTAACGTACGGGTGTGATTTAGGTACATGAGTTTCAGGTATCTCTGTCCTCGCAGTGATTTGCCGCGACGGCATGGAAGATTTCTGAAACGTCCATGGTCCAGCTCTTCCAATCCATTGCGAACGTATTTGACAGGAACAAGTTGACCCATCTCTCCGTCTCGGAATTGGAAATTTCAGCCCAGACGCTCTCCGAATCGTGTTACATCAATGCTGCCACGTTTCGTCACATCCTATCCCTCCACAACTTACGTTGCATTGACATTCAGTCTCCGCGTGACGTTTTGATGACAGACGGTGCACTTCTGCAAATGGCAGTCTCCTGGCCAAATCTTTCGTCACTGCATATCAACCAGAAGTCTGGCTGGAAGGCAAGGTCAAACGTCACCATACAAGGCTTACGCAAGATGCTGCAGATGTTACCTGGACTTGTAACCCTGGCAGTGGCAGTTGACGCAGACACTTTCCGTCCCATGGACATTGTTGGTGATAAATCAAGGAAATTCTGCATTTACAGACCCTTCACTCTAGATTTATTGGATTCAAGAATTAGCAAGAACATCCCGGAAGTAGCAGCGTTTTTGGCCGACGTGTTTCCACTTCACGAGATGGGCCTGCAAGATCGCTCGATCTGCGCCTGGGAATTCCCCGAACGGCGGGGAGAGACTTGGGGAGAGAGGACTCGGAGCGAATATGCGAATGCATGGGAAACTGTATTTCGCACAGTCGGTGTTATCAACAAGGCCGTTCAGAATAGGCCGCGGATTGTGCTGAGGTTCGACAGGAATGGTGTTTTAGACAGCGAGGGAGTTTACGATGTTGATGGCAAATTGCTACAGTCTGATTAGATATAGTCGATGATAACCTTTGTGACGGGTATACTAACGTTCAACAATGTACAAAACATGGTTTCCGTAACCTGCCATCGAGTATGCGGTTTAGTCCCAAGTTTTGTAGACTGCGTTGTTTAAGTGTTGTACAGAGCTCCACACTCAAAATCGACGGCCCGTCGACCATCAAGCTTCTATACAGAGTCATCAGCTGCAGCGCTCGCATAGCGCTCAACTCTGTCGCGAACATAAGATGGAGCCCCAGATGCGCAGATTAAAGGTAGTTTACGAGGTAAAAGAGTACGAGGTTACTCAAATAAAACATACAAGATGTAAATTAGCTATCGCATCTTAGGCGCTTACTGCGGGGTACAGGGGTACGAGTCCACGTTGACCGTGTCAACGATCCACGTCAGCCCGCCATCGGGCGTCAACAATCCCGAGTCGCTTGTGCCAGTCTTGGACAGCGTGCTTCCCCAGTCGGGATCGGCCGCGCCAAGCATGATCTGTGTGTTGTGGTATGCTAGGTGGAGACATCGAAATATTAGTGAATAGCACTGTGCCATATAGCGACGGGTGAACTTACTGTGGGCGGGCATGTTCCCACTGACGTTGTCCTGACATTCAACCGCGATGTTCCAGGCATACGGTCTGCCAGAGCTGCTTGTGAACGTAGACAGCAGCTGACCATCTCTGTACACGTTCTGCACCGTCGTGCCTGTCGAATCGTCGTAGTTGACTGCGATCGTTAATAAGAACTGCCTACGTAGACACACGAAAAGAGAGGGACTAACAATCCATGTCCAACATGTCTCCCTCGCTCACGGGGACGTAAGCTCCGGCGGTTTGGGCATTCGTGTTTCCGTCGTTGAAGCTCGCAAAGACGCACCACTGGCCAGGCTGGCCACCGCAATTACTGATTTCCCCCAGATCAACCACCTGCCGCATGCAGCCCAGAGCACCGAGAAGAAATCTTACCTAGCAGGGTCCGCAAACGAAACGATGATACTCTGAACGAGACCCTTGTTCGCCGTCTCCATCCCAGGCCAGATCGCGAGGCGGTCAGTCTGCGGGTTTGGCGCCGCGGGAACCTGGAGGGTCGTCTTGGAGGAGGCGACCCATACGCCGCTGTTGACGCCCCACGAGTTGAGCCACCACTCGCCGCCAAAGCCAACGGTTGCGGAGGCAAGGAAGGGTAAAGAGGAAAGCGAGAGTGAGAGAGGGAGGATGGATCGCATTGTTGTCGTGTGACGAGGGTAGCGGTTGGTCGGTGACTGAGAGTGTTTGATTGTCCACAGCTTATACAGTGTTATACACGGGGTTTTTGATCATCGAGTGTCGGTGCGCTGAGACGGATATTATCCGAGGATGCATCCTAGAATGAAAACGTAAATCAGCTGGCTGACCGCTGTTGTCCCTTGGGGAAAGGTGCAGCGTTGGATGCTCACGGCCTGCGGCAACGACTGTCATCCTCGCACCTCGAGGAAGTCACAACCACGCTGTTGGTTGACACGTGGTCAGGAATTAAGCAAGGTCTCCAGGGCCATGGGACGTGTTGTTGACGTCGGTAGGATCAACATCACATCAGGCCATCATGTTTCGGCCAATTTTCGCAACAGATGCGGGGTTTTACGTCTTTGAACGTCTCGGCCTGTTTAAGGTTTAGTGAACGGTTTCTTGTTGTCAGCGTCCGTCAGCATCCCAGGAGAAATGTCGAACTCGCCTGCTACTCTGGCTTTGACCGTGTCCGTGGGTGGCGATAGTAGGTACGGGTCGAGGAACGGGAATGAGAGTCCGGGATAGCGAGCACGCCCTCCGGAGGTTCTTTTGCATTTGCCCAGCTGACGGCGTGGGTCTTGTGCGGGAGGAGAGCCTCGACGGCGGATGTGATTGTGGTGCGAAAGTACCCCAGGAAAGGGAGGTGTTAGTCTTCGCTCAGTAGAGAGCGTGCCTTTGCTCCCCAACTCGGTTCGCCTCAACATTCATAGCGACCCCGTCTTCTTCTTCTTCCTCCTCTCGTAGAAGCTCTAGAATGGGTTGCAGGAAGCCGGGCCAACGTACTGCAGCGACGTATTGCAGCTGCGTGAGATCGTGCGTGAATTTGCGCAACCGCCGTATGTCTATGGCGCTGCAGGTATTTCGGAAGGATTTGAGCAGGCGTTCGATCTTTTCTAAGTATTGAGTATCAAGTCATTGAGTGACCACACGGGGCGCACATAGACCGCGCAACATGGTTAACCACACCTTGGTGTGTAGGCTCAATGTCAACGAGAATATGGGTCTAGTGCTGCACCATTTGTCGGTTGCATGTGGTGCCAGTGCACAGTGGACAACAGCACCACGCTGACTCTCACACATGCTTATGCGGCAAAAACGTCAGAATATAGTCATAATTTGTGTAGAGCTTGGAAGAGTGACTCGCCAGCAAGTTATGTAAAGAGAGACTCGCCACTTCCCCAAGACACGTCAAGGGCACGACCACCTCGTGCATGTTCTCCTTCAGTGGATCCGCCTTGTCGATCGCAATGACCAGCACTAGACTCTCATTCATCCTTTCAAATTCTTCGACATCCACTGCCTTGGCTTTTCCATTCCCCTTCACTCCAACGTCGTCTTTCCTAAGACTGCTCGTGCGCTTCCCGGTAGCCTGCGCATACACCGCCCGCAACCCCTCTCAAAAGCTGTCAAAGCAGCCGTTCCACCTCTCCTCTGGACCGATCTCGCTGGGTCCAGGCCAGTTCGCGCACCCATCTGACCATGATGGCATCCATTGCGCCAGCTATTTCAGCTCGCCATCGTACAAGAGTAGTGGCTTGAAACACGCGACGGCGTTCACGTGTGCGACGTAGAGAGGAGGGAAGTCCGGGATCGTTGGTTTCACTTGGGTGTTTCCTCCGTGATCTCCTGACCCAACTCCGCATTGCCTTTCTCCTTTTGCTTCCATTTCCTCCTTCTACTTGAGCTTCTTGGTGGAGTCTTCTCCGCCGAAGATTTCGACGCCTCGGCTAGTGAGAAGAGAGCCCAGAAGGACCTGGCGTGCGCGAGAGAGCGTCGTCGACAATGGAAGAAACGACGCGCGCTCCGCTGGAAGTCGTGTTGCTAACGTGAATGAATGGTGGTAAACCACCGCTGCCACTCGCCAGCAGCTCGGCGATGTGGGAAACGAAGTTGGAGTAGGCGGGGTGTTGATGCGCGAGGTCGCCGATGAGGTCGAAGCTGCCTAAGTCTATATGTTCGTCTACATCATTTTCCATGGACGTTGATGAGGATAGAGGACAGCATAGTGAAGAAAAGGGAAGCGTTTAAGAATGCGACGCGTCAGAAGTTGCAAGACGCGGAGGACGCGGTGGTGCGAACGTGAGAGAGACGACAACTTGGTTTCAAACTTCATCGATTTCATCCTTCCAATGTTATCTCACAAATCATACAGCCATCAGTACCATCTACTACTGCCCCACCTTTCAAAGGCGGCAAATCAGCTCATACAGTAAAAGAAGTATCGCCCGCAAGCTGACATTGCTACCTGACCCAAGACTTGACCTTTCTAGCTCTACCCCAGGCCTTGTTCTCGTTCGCTGCCCGTCGCCAAGCATATGCATGAGACTCCCATCTCCTCCCGCTCTGCTGTCAGTATAGCTCTTATTGATGTCTCTCCAGTCTTCTTCCCTCAACACCGGTGCGTTCTCGAGACATCTCTCTTTGATCAACGCTCTTACCAGGTCTCTCGACTGCGCGTACTCTTCTTCCAGTATGTACTCCCCTGACTTCAACTTCTTCCCTTTCGTCGTCGTGACGCACGCATGCCCATCAAACTGCACACTGCAAAGATTTCACCATAACTTGTGCCCATTTACACTAAATAACTGGCCCGGTTAGTTGAAATAACTTTATCATAACTGGCCGGGATTTATCCGGGTGTGGATACACATTGTATTTTAAATAACATTTGATACATCTGAACAAGTGCAAATGCTTCATGAACGGGCGGTAAGGCTCCAAAAAGCCTTGTGAGGGCCGATAAGCCCAACACGGCTGGGGCCCGGTCAGAAGCGTAAGGAGGCAGTCTCGATTTTCACGAAGAAGGGGTGTGTTCACCAGACTAGTCATATTTCACGAAACCCGCCTGTGTTTCACGAGGGATGAGTGGCGTTTTGAAGCTCGTGAGGGTCAGTAAGCTTATCGGGCCTGCTAAGGGATATTGAGCATTTGTAAGGGTTTTCGAGCGTTGCAAAGAGGTACAACATTATTTAGCCTTATGAATCACACATAATACGCAGTGGTCACGTAGAAACTGCATACATGTCGATTCGCGCAATCTTACTACAGCTGCATACAAGTCCGACTATGGTACATCAAAGTCCTACCTACCGAGCTACAAACATACACGAATTACAGTTGGTCGAAACACGACAGAGGCCGACAAGGTCATCAAGAATGCGATGCACAATCTATCATATACGAACGTGTGTCAGACAATGTAACAACGGTAGCTGAGCACGTACTTGTTTACTGTGGGTTCACCTTCCCACTGCCGCCGCCTGAGGAAGTGTTCTTGCTGCGACTGGCCTTCGGAGGGAGTACCTGCTCATTCTCAGAGAGCTCCGCCTCTGATACGTGCTTGTCGTTAAAGCTAATGTTAGCCGCAGATACTGGATGAGAGGGGCGAGACCGAGTAGAGGTCCTTCCTCCACCTGACGCATACGACTTTTGAGTCCTTTCCCTCACACGCAGACGCGAGGCGGCATTGACGTCCTCTTCATTGACGACCAATTTGGTGTTGGTATCCGCAGGGCGAGGAACGCGGCGACCATCACGAGCAGAGAGAGAACTCGATGTCGAAGGTGGTGCCTGGGAGCGATGTTCATGAGAGCGACGATCTGGGGTGTTCTGCGAAATAATGAGGAAAGGTCAGGATAGTACGGCATCAGTGGAAGACGAGTCCCCACGTCATTATCATTGGGCGAGCTGTCACGAGCGCGGGACTCGGTGCTGCTGGGTGGACGTCCATGAGTCTGGGAAGGCTGTGATATGGGCTTGACCGTAGATAAAGTGTCCGAGTAAGTGACTAGCAGTAGACGTGATCATTAGCTTACCTCATGAGTCTCCGTCTCCTCATTCCCTGTAACTTGCTCGTTCATTGCTGCGTCAAAGAGGTCCCCTGCCGCAGCATGGTCAGCATTGGCCTGGAGTGTGATGTCGGCAGTGCGGGCCCGAAGCCCGGTCTGCGCCCGCTCGCGAGCAGCCTGTTTGGCCTTTGCTTGCTCCCGGAGCCGAACATAGAAGCTATCCTCGTTGTTCTTCTCGTCATCGTCGTTGTTGTCATCCGAGGAGTCGTTAACAGCGCCCTTTTCATGGCCGAAAATCTTTCTGTCACCACTATAAATAAACTGTAGTAATAATCAAATAATACTCACAGGTTCAGATAACGTAAGGCATCAGCAATCTCCTCCTCGTGGAGTGGGTCCCAGACAAGCGCGAGCATCCGGTTGTACTCCTTCTCCCAGACATAGCCTCCGTCGGCAGTCGCTCCCCACTGCTGAGTAGACATTGCCGAGCGCCCCTCAAATACATGGGATTAGACAGACGAATATAAACAGAGATAAAGTACGCTCACCGCGAGAGTAAGATATGGCAAGTGTTCTGCAATGATACAGGGTGTGTCCATTATCGAGCCCTTGCTTCGACAAGAGAGTGGTAGTGGGTCCTCCTTCAAGGCAGCTTTCGGAGCAACCATGATGTGCTTGCCAACCTAGAATGCGTCAGAGAAGGCACAGATGGAGAATCCAGTGGTACATACGCGTACGAGGAGAAATCCCTTGAACATGCCTCTTGCAACATCATCCTTATCATAGCCTCCGTCCGAATGCATACCTGGCTCCCCACTACTCTCGAAGACAAAGGAAGGAAGGCTTCTCAGGCTGAGGTCGCCCGCCTTGAGTTTAGCACGTGTTCTCGGAGGATAGTAAGTGTACTGTATACAGAGAATAAACGGAATAATACCCACCTGTCGGAATCTTTGAGATACTTTGGGAGGTGCTCTATCGGACAGAGGAGCTTTCCGAGCTGGACATGGTTAAAGCCCCACTTATCACGAGGCACACCCTTGCCGACGTATGGATCGAGGGGCCTCTGGTGGTTGATAGCGGCATACTGACCAATAATATCCTTGATGGGATTGAAGTCCATACTCCTCGTGACGCTGACTTGGTTACAGATCTGTGGAGGGTTTGTATGGGTGCATATATGCGCATACTACGAAATTTTCTTACCTTCTTGATGCATTTCTCGAGCTCGTCGCTCATACCTGTGGTCTTGAGCAAGTCGAGGACAGCCGGAGCACTTGACTCGATGAAGTCAAAGACTTTGTCGTGCCACAGAAGCTTGCCCTCGGACCTACAAACTGTGACGTGCATATAGTCAGCAAAATGCCGATAACAAAAAATGTAGAAAGAACTCACATATGATGCATTTTCTTCTTGAGGGAGTGGGGGAGTGTGGTCCCGAACGCACTTGCCTTGCCATCAAGTGCTCTCCAGATCGCGATTTGCAGAACATCGTCGATCTCAGAGTACAGACCGGCAGTGCGTGTGATGAAATTTGCAACTCGGTCGCACTGCTTTTTGAAGCTACGGAACAGGTTATTAAGATGTCCTACACAGACGAAGTCAAAACTTACGATGCTGACTCAACACGTGGGGCACCAGGTGCTTTTTCTTTAGCTGACTGACCGGATTGACCAGATGAGTTGGATGGTGGCGGCGAGGATGGAGGGATACGAGAAGAGGAGGATGAGCCACGGTGAGTCCTGGTTTTTTTGGCAGGTGGCCGTTCGGGGGAGGGGGAAGGGGAGGGCTCTGCAGAGCGAGCGCGAGCGCAACCTCGCACCTGTGACTTGGAGCGGGCGCGGCGGGGCATGGTGGTGGTAAGAAAGAAAGAAAGGCGCACCAGCAATGTCACCAAAGACGCGTCTTGTTTTGACGTGTCTTGACTTTGGGTGGCTCAGGGGCACAGGATTCCAAATTTAACATGGCTAAATTAGTACCAGCTTCCGTGCTTCTATTTACGAGCAGCTTCGATCTGGTTCCGCACCGAGGACTTAATGCTCTCGGCGGACTGAAAGCGTGTCCAGTAGACATGTTTTCACAGGGAAGTTGCAGCCAGTGCCGCATTAATACAAGGATATTGACAACAAGGCTAAGTTGTTAAGGGTGTACTAGTACACCTCCAGTACAGGCCTGCAGGCTGAGTACATTTTTGAGGTGCACAAAGAGAGTGGCCGAAGACGCCGCTGTCAGGCTAAATTTGTAGCAGCAATAACCATGGCTCGGTGATCGTCGCGCACCTAAAAGCATGCTTGGACATACCTTTTAGGTACGCGACGATCTGCCTTCTTGGTGTTTGCATCGGGGCTGATAACGCTTGCCATTTCACACGAGCGCTTGTCAGTGCTGAGTTCCTCTCCCCGCTCCGTAATTCCAGACGCACAAGTCGTGCGTTTCTGCTGCCACTCAGCTCAATGCCACCTTCACGATCCAAAAAGTGCGAGGACTGTGATAAAATCTGTAAAAATACCACGGGTCTTCGCATTCACCGCCGCACATGCCCTAAGGCAATTGCTGCAAGACAAACGATATTCAACACTGCTGCACCATACCTGGAGCATGATTCGGATGCAGAGCTTGCACAGCAGAGAGATAGCCATCATGGCTTGTCCTCTCCGGTACCAGGACCATCTGGGTATCATGATGAAGACGAGGAGCCAGACTCGAGCAGGGAGACGTCTCCAGTACAGCAGGCATTACCAGTGCGTCATAATCCTAATGACAACATAACCTCCATCTAACACTTGATGTCTATACTATTAGATGCATATCTCATCTCGCTCAGGTCGCTTAGTTCGTATGCCACAGCGCTTTGATGATCTTCTGCCGAGTAGCTCTACCCATCTGTCGCATATGCCCCAATTTGAACAACTCACTCGTGAACCTTCTAACTCTACTACTGTTGACGAAACCAATGGACCTGAGCTCTCCCCATTCACTACAGCCATTGATGACTTTGGCATGTATCGCATCTACGCCAACAAACCAACTCAGATCCCTCTGGAAACTCTGCAGAGCGTTTCAGACGGTCCTCTACTCCAAGGTGGACTACCGAAATCTCCATCAACATCCCTTCGCACTTCGAGTGACCCTCAGCTTGCTGAATTTACAGCTGAGGAGGCTATGGCTCCCTTCTCTAATGCAACTCGTGGCATACTCATGGCATGGTCTCATACTGGGTCAAACAGAAAGTCTGAAGCCGAAATGGCGAGGCTTGGAGCACTCAATGGGCATCCCCTTTACCAAGCTAAGGAGGCAGTGGGTTTTAACCCCCAGACAGAAGGTGCACGTCTCGATAACTACTTGAAGATGAAGCAAGACAGCACTTTTTGACAAGAGCATGGATGGAAGAGATCATCAATCGACATTCCCATGCCTTTCGAAGGGAAGAAGACGCACGGAGGTGAACAACATGTCCCCAAACTTACTGTCGATAACTTTTATCATCGAAACATTGCATCTATCATCAAGGGAGCACTTGAAGACCATGTCTTTACGACTTACAACACCACTCCCTTTCAACAGCGCTGGAAAACCTCGGATGGCAGAGATATCCGTGTCTACTCTGAAATATATAGCTCGGATTCTGTCTTGGGCATGTATCGTGAAGTCAACACTGCTCCTCGCCCTCCTGGAGATGATTATGAGCGGATCATTGTCCCGCTCATGCTCTTTTCAGATGCAACACTTCTCTCAAATTTTGGGCAAGCGTCTCTTTGGCCAATTTATCTGTTTGTGGGAAACCAGTCGAAATATACTCGTGGAAAGCCAACAGCTAAAGCGTGCCATCATCTCGCCTATATTCCAAGTGTACGTTGTTTATCCTTTGGAGAGCTACTGAACTGATGTTATTCTACAGCTGCCAGACGGTTGGCAGAGCAATTATGCGGAGATATATGGGAAAGCACCTACGAGAGAGGTTCACACACATCTTAAACGCGAACTAGTGCATGGTGTGTGGAGATTGCTTCTGCAAGATGAGGAGTTCTGTCGCGCGTATACTGAAGGCATCATTGCAAAATGTGGTGATGACATTATCCGGCGGGCGCTCCTCCGAATTGTAACTTATACTGGCGACTACCCTGAGAAGTAAATCTATTCACTCGACTCGACTTTCGCTGCTAACATATGTTAATGTCCAGAATTATCCTATCTACGCTGAAGTACTTTGCAAAATACCCATGCCCACGTTGCCTCGTACCAAAACACCTCCTCTCCAAGATGGGAACAATGGCAGACATGCAACGACGTCTCAAAATCAGACTTGACAGCAAAAAGCGTCAGGCTTGTGTGCGAACAGCTAGAGGGAAAATATTCAAGAAAGGACGTCCTGTCAACTCGAAGCAGGTCAATGACACGCTGGGTGAGCACTCATATGTGCCAACTATGGTAAGTCACCCTTCCACCAATTGTTTCCTTGTTCTAATCATTTTCTAGAACGCTTTTTCCGAGTTTCTTCTTGATAAAGAAGTCAACTTTTTCGAACTCTTTGTCCCAGACTTCCTGCACGAGTATGAACTTGGTGTTTGGAAGTCAATATTCATCCACCTTGTTAGGATGCTGCTTTCAATTGGAGGCACATCGGTGACAAGGGTGGACGAACGGTAAGTGCACCTCACTTTGTATTATTCAGCATTTGATAAGCTTGTGTAAAGGTATCGTCAAATACCACGATTCGGAAGGACCACAATCCGACGATTCCGTAAGAACTCGACCGCGATGAAAAAAATGGCTGCTCGAGATTTCGAGGATTTATTGCAGGTACGGACCTTTGTTTAACATATGAATTCTACTAAACTGGCAATTAGTGTGCTCTACCCGTATTCGGAGGCGTGTTTCCCAGCCGTACGCACAACAAGGTCGTTCTCGACCTTCTCTTTGAGTTGGGAAAGTGGCACTCACTTGCAAAACTGCGCCTACACACGGACGACACTCTCAAGCTTCTTGAACAGGCAACTATTAGTCTAGGAGCGTCAGCCCGCAAATTTCAGGCCGAAGTCTGCCCCTCATATGACACCCGCGAGATACCATCTGAGACTTCTGCCCGTGGGCGCAGAGCAGTAACAAAAATCGCCAATTCCAAGGGGAAAGCACGGGCAACCAACGTTGCACAATCCAGTAAACGCAAGGTCTTGAACCTTGATACATACAAGTACCACTCGCTTGGCGACACGGTAAAATCAATCCGTCACTATGGTACTATGGATAACTACAGTTCCTTGCTGGTATTTCTATTTGCCATGCATGCTACATATATTACTGACTCTGGTTTATGCAGTGCGAACTTGCTCATTGTCTTTCCAAAGGACGCTATCCACGGACTGGGAAAAAACACGATCACATGCTCGCCTCCATGACACGACTTGACTCACGCTCTCGCTATGTGGACAAGCTACTCAAATACCTCGAGGCAACCTTTACACCGCTGCAAGCCACATCCTCTGAGGTACCCCAGCCTTCTGGGAATGCTGATGTCAACCCTACCAATCCTCAGCAGCGGTACTGGATGTCTCATGAATCACGGACTTCACACTTGCTTTATGACTTTGTTCAAGCCATGGATGAATCATTTGGAATAGAGAAGACAGTGAGTCTATAATAGCTACTGTTCAATTGCTTTCTGACATTATAATGACTACAATTCGCAGGAATTTGAGCCGTGCCTCAAAACTCATATACTTGATCGCCTGCGCGAGCAGAATAACATCCCCGATGTTATAGATCTCCCCAACTCTGACGAAGTCGAATACTCTACGAACGTGCTCGACTCTTTGATCATTAGCAAGGAGAAGCTCTACGAACACAAGACACTTCGGGTCAACTTCACTACATATGATCTCCGCCGAGAACACGACACCATCAACCCTCGTTCACATGCTGACATCATGCTCTTATCCCAGGATGAGCCAACCGACAAGAATGCTCACCCGTACTGGTATGCACGGGTAACGTTCATTTTTCATGTAATGGTTCGCTTCCACCATGAAGATCCATCAAAATCACGTCGTGTTGATGTTCTACTCATCCGATGGCTGCACCGGGATTCAAACTTCCAAGACATATTTGTTGACCGCCGCCTTCCCCGTGTTTCTTTCTTCCCTTTGGGCACATCTGAATGCTGGGATTTTATCGACCCCAGCACAGTTATTCGCTCGGTCCATCTCTTGCCAGGTTTTGAATCTGACCGTGTTCCTGGTCCATCCATTCCTCATAATATCTCTCGCATGCACTTTGGATCAAAAACCGATGAGTCTGTTTACGAGTGGTCTCATTATTGCATCGGAATGTAAGTGATACATTATTCCTGCAAGTCTACAAATTAAAGGAGGCTCCAGCTTTGCAGACCGCGACATGTTCATGCGCTTTCTCGGTGGCGGAATCGGTCATACCATGACCAGACCTTGGGACACTCTTCTCAATATGTGTGCAAAGTTAGCCAGTGAAGTGTTCGCGGCGGAGGAGAGTGACAGTGAAGATCACTCAGAAAATGAGAGCGAGGATCGGGTAGAAGCCCGAGAACTGCCAGAAGAGAACGAGGACGAATGGGAAACTGACCTTGATGAGACTGATCGTGAAACTGAAGACACTACAGATGACGGCGAGGATGGTACAGACAGTGAGGAAAACACTTCAGACAAGGGCGGGAGCTCAGACGATGACAAGGACACTTCGGACGAGGAAGAGTTGGATGAAAATGATCCACTTGACGAGATAGTAGGCGAAGATGAGAGGCTTGTTGATATGGCTGGATTCGGGGTGTGGTGATGGCACCGAAATCAGCCCTCTGCGTCTGACAATTTTATTTCTAGCTCACGGACTTCAACATGTAGGCTCCAGTAGTAACACTATTTATTAGAAACCGGTACCAGGTGTAAAATACAGAGACGACAGGTATTTTCTAGCCTAACATAGATCCACACTGAGACGTGTGAGACGCACGTCTCAGCGTGTGTGTCGGTCACTGCGCACTGCTTTAACCAGGTACACGATCGCGTCGAATTATTGATCGAGGCTCCGCCCTCGCTTTGTGCGCAGGCTGAGCCTCTATTTATTAACCGGGGCGTTATTACGGGCGCACGCGCTCTGGCTGACCCGTGCATGGACTAGGAGAGAGAATGAGGCGAGGGCTGACGGAGAAGCTGCCTTGACCAGAGCAGATGTCCGGCCGAGCCCTCACCCGTGCGTATCTCCCCAAGCCACATGCAGGTCGCTGAGGACAGCTGCCGACGCGGACTGGGGCTCCAGCGCCCACTGCCGGAAGAACATGGTGAGAGATAGAAACGCGGAGACAAAATGCGGACACGCGATATATCGGAGTTGTAACCCAGTTGCCGTATTTGGCCGCATAATCGACTCCGCCTGAGCCTTCCCTCACGCGCAAAGGCAGTGCGTGTCAGCGTGCACCAAACCGCACGGCTCTACATAATTACAAGTAGTTCGTCACGGCTATTAGTGCTTCATCAACCATGATGAAACATGCACGGAAATCGTGAGTAGTTTTGACGGTTTTCGAGCCGAGTCCGATTTTCGAAAACGGCCAATATCCCTCGCGAAACTGGGGACGATTTCACGAGGCCTGGCGAACTGACCCTCCATCTCGTGATGCCTTACGATCAGCCAATATCCCTCACCAACGTTCAATATGCGTAGCGAAACCCGGCGCACTTTCACGAGGGCTAAAAGGCCCGATATTCTCGTGCACTTTTACAGATGTAGGTTATGCTAAAGGTGGGACACGCACACTCTCCTACCCAGATGGATCGGTCGTGTTGAGTCGCACTGATATTAATATCAATTACAAAGTTGTATTCGCTGCGTTGAATTTGGACTCCGCCGAATCGCCGAAACTTTTGAGCGACTTACATGACCGACCCTTTGGCAAAACTTGTAGGTGGCCGATCTCGGCTTGGTTTGCCGAGCCGCGTTCTCCCATGGCACCAATTCCCGTTGCCTATAAAGGCAATGGGTTTGGAGGGGGCCGCTAAGGTGCTATTTCTCTCGAGTGGTTTAGAAAATTGATTGTGTCATGTGACGGTGGGATTTGAGTGGCAATGTCTTACACTTGCTCTTGTTAGCCTCTGTCTTCCGCTTACCTTTTTACCCTCCTCACACGTCTCCCATTCCTGTGCTGTCGCTCTCTATTCCTCGCTCGCTAATTTTCTTGTTCTCCCCGATGTGCTATTCTCGGGGCACAATATGATCGGATGCCTGATGTTCAGCTCTATGTTCTGAACATAGTTCAGCAGCGTATTCGGGAGATACCATTGAAGCGGGTGCTCACATCTCTGAACATGGAGTTTTATGCCGATGACACACTTGTGATGCTGTGATCCAGACTGAAGAGGTTTACTACAAAGCTCAAGCATCACATCCTCCACGTTGCATTGACTGAGTGCCATGAGGAGGACCTCCAACAAGTTTGTGCGAATTGGCCTGAATGTACATCTACTGAGGTGAGAGACCGTATTAAAGCTTAATTCTTGCAGGTCACTTCCCTCCTGCCATGCGTTCTCATACGTGTGCTGCCTGTGCTCAATGTGTTTGTGTCGACTCTGCTTGTGATGCCAAACTACGTGACATCGATGTTGCTCCGCTACGAATCAGACATTACCTCTTCCCATTCCATTGCGGTCTCGTTGGGCCAGACTTGCCCATTTTACCCCTCGTGCTCGCAGTCTCATGTTGGACCCGGAGGGAGTCCGTACAGACTTGAATGCACAGATCGTACTTTCTGTGTACTCGACTTGTCGACAAGGCTTGAAACCCCACAAGCTTCTGCGGGTAGCGTTAGCCAACAACAATTACCTTGGTGTTGTCCCTGCGCCACTGCGAAACCTCATTGTTGTGGAAGAAGTGACGATTGAACTTTGCCGTCCCAATTCATGTGTTATACAGTGCCAATCCACGTGAAACTGGTGAAGGGCCACATTATGACCTGTCCGCAGAATACAACCCGTGTTGCAGAGTGCCTGCCAGCTTCCATGGAAGATATTACCATTATCATCTGTGTTCTATTTGCAGGATCCAAAGCACCCACGAATGAGTGAATGGAAACATATGAAAAACCTTTATTAGTTCATTATGAAAAGGTACACTCTGCTTTGGATTGGCTGAAGGAGCACAACTGTCATTATTGCCACATTCGTATTGATAACGCTGCAATGTTGGCAAGGGCTAGTGCCTGAGGCCGTACAGAGGTCCCGGTGAAGCACTGTAATTACAATCATGTAATCATGACACATTTTGACATAGAGGGGGCACTGATGTTATGCAAAGTCTGATTGGGGCTTGCCTGTGAGCAAGGAAACAAAAGGCGACGGGTTTTGCCGTGCACTGGCGCACGGCGCTATGCAATAATGCTAGCTCATCGACACACTCAAGTCCATATCTTGGCCCACATCGTATACACCCCACCTGTAGATATTCAAAGACGTATCAATTACAATAAATAAAGTGAAACTGCTCCATCCTTGTATATCAGGTGCTAAAGTCAAGGGTTTGGGCGAGCATGACTTAAAAAAACCCATATACTTGATGCTTCAGCATGTGTTCATTCAGGGCATGAGCTCGAGAGTACCTCCTGCATTTATTCAAACTCCCTTGTTAACACAATATATTGGGACTATATGCATTTGCATTGAGCTCATGCCTAACAATGCTTAGACAATTGTGCTATACAAGTGTTGAAATTTTGAACATAGAAAATAGGGGCTTTCAGCCCAATAAGAGTCGGCATCTCTCTAGTGACCCCTCGTTGACTGGCAGCTCTATTATTTTTTGTTATAATTTGGAAGACATTGTCATACACCCTTGGAGTGCCGGATAGGTGGATCAAACATGAATCACAACCTTTGACCGAGAGTACATTAATATTGTTTCACTCAAGTTTCACTGATTATGCACTGGTGCTGTGGGAGAACGCGGCTCGGCAAACCAAGCCGAGATCGGCCACCTACAAGTTTTGCCAAAGGGTCGGTCATGTAAGTCGCTCAAAAGTTTCGGCGATTCAGCGGAGTCCGAATTCAACGCAGCAAATACAACTTTTGTAATTGATATTAATATCAGTGCGACTCAACACGACCGATCCATCTGGGTAGGAGAGTGGGACACGCAGTTTTGACAGTTATCTTAAATTATAGTTTCTCACGGCCGTCAGCCATGTCATTGCTCATCTGTTTATTTTAAATGAAAATGGAGTTAACATAAATGCGGATAAACTCCGCATTTGGATGGCAACAATCAAAGTCTGGCCCATGATGGTCAGAAACCAGATAATGACCTGGCAATGACTAATCATATGCCGGTCAATGGCCAATCAATGGCCAATCAATTGCCAGTCATTTGCCAGTCAATGGCGGGTTAATGGCGGGTTAATGGCCAAATAGAAAGTTATTATTTAGTTAGAGAAATATGCTTTTAATCCCTCACTTCACAAACAATATGAATCCTAAAGTCCCATAGTACTCCCTTCCTTTTTATCACCAATAGCTGATAATTAGTCTGATCATTTAGAGTAAATAAGTGGTTTTTTATTGCACATAAAAATTTGATGACCAGCCATTGATTGGCCATTAACCCGCCATTAACCCGCCATTGACTGGCAAATGACTGGCAATTGATTGGCCATTGATTGGCCATTGACCGGCATATGATTAGTCATTGCCAGGTCATTATCTGGTTTCTGACCATCATGGGCCAGACTTTGATTGTTGCCATCCAAATGCGGAGTTTATCCGCATTTATGTTAACTCCATTTTCATTTAAAATAAACAGATGAGCAATGACATGGCTGACGGCCGTGAGAAACTATAATTTAAGATAACTGTCAAAACTGTGTGCCCCACCTTTAGCATAACCTGTCAAATGTTATTTAAAATACAATGTGTATCCACACCCGGATAAATCCCGGCAAGTTATGATAAAGTTATTTTAACTAACCGGGCCAGTTATTTAAAGTAAATGGGCACAAGTTATGGTGAAAATTCTGCAGTGGCAGCCCGTTGCCGGCCAAATCTCCCCCGTTCTCGTCCCACCAGCTCTCCATCCGGTCCTCATTTTCCAAGCCCGTCGCGACGAGCACGATTGGGACCTGCCCGCGGAAGACGACACGCTGGAAGATATCGTAGTTGATCTTGACGATGCTCCGCAAGCGAGTCCCGCGTACGACGTACATCAACAGATGCACGCCTCCCTTCAGCTGCTTCAATAGATCAACGAGCTTCTCACACGCCTCATGCGCTGTTACAGAACCCTTGGAGCCCTCGTTGAGCCCCGCGGTATCCCAGAGCACGTAATTGCGCTCGTCGATGGTGACTTGATATGGCTCGGTCTCGAAGGTACAACCGAGCGCCTGGTTGGAAACAGCCGCAGACGCGTTTGCGTCGCCGGAGAGCATGTTGATGAGGGAGCTTTTGCCAACGCCGGATTCACCGAAGATGATGACGTTGGCTGGCGGGAGCTTGCTGTCACCGGACGATGTTACATCCACGGCACTCTGCCCGTACGGGCCTTCATGCGGTGCGGAAGCGAACGTCGCACTCGGTACAAATGGCAGGCGATGATCGATGGAAGCGGTAGATGACATGGTCTCTGCCGCCTGACCGGGGATAGTGGAGCAGAAGCGAAGAGGCTTTTGCTGAGGTTCCGCTGGCAGGGACTTGTCCGACGGCGCGAAGGAGGCAGGTATGCCTGATCGTACTTCTCCCTCGCATTGATCATGACCTGACGACACTATATCCACAGCTTTCTCGTTACGCATGGCTGCATATAGTGGCGAAACGGTAGTATCATGAGAAGCAGACGACGAGGGATCGTCGATGAAAACGGTGGATGACGCTGTATGGGTTGGGGTTGGCTGTGGTGCAGTTGGTAAGGACCTGTCGTACGGCGTGAAGGAGGTGGGTGGGCCCGTTCGTGCACCTTGACCACTTTGATATTGACCTAGCGGCGCTCCTTGCCTTGCTCTGTTGTAGCTTCTCGACGAGTGACTTGGTTCTTTGGAGGGCGAATACATTGGATGTCAGAGGCTGTCGAGACCCACGTAATGCGCCGCTGTCGCGTCTTTCTATTGGCGTGTTTTGTCTCGTCAAATCAAACTTTCCCGTCCGTACCCTGAAGGACTCACCTGGGCGTACGTCAAGCTTCTTTGGCCCGTTGTAATCCTTCGATATGCGCACATTCTTGTACTGGACGATAAGAACTTATCCCTCTGTCCTAGCCGTCATGCTGAACTTGATTGGGTAAACCAGTCTAAATCTCCGTGTCCTCGTGACAACCTTATCACCTCATGTCCCCGACTTTTATGGCGCCTAACTCAACCGAACCTGTGCGCCGCTTCTCATAAGCGCTGTGAGCACCCTCCTAGTTGGCGTATGCGGGATCTTTGCTTCCTTCATCCGACTCGATCAGTACTTCGACGTGTTGATTTTCAGAGAAGCTCATTTACTTCGGGAACTTCCCTGCTGTCAATGTTCCAGATCGATCATACATTTGACTCACAACTGCATGGGCAGCAAACTTTCCTGTGTAGCACTAGCTACTTCCAGAAAACAAACGCGGAGCGCTGGACAGCCATAATTTTAGTCTAGGGCTGTGGGCTTGTTTCCTCGCACCCGTCTTCCTGCTTCATGTTCCTCCTTCCATTCAGCACCGAAGATAGCTTCTCGAGCGCTGTGGAGCTTCCCCCAACTCGTGTATCTAGGAACTATACCTGTTTGGTATGGTTTGAGGTATGATTCCGCCCATTGACACTGGACATCGTTCGCTCGTTCCGTAAATGTGATTTATTCTTATGAAGAGCTGACCCTTTGCCCACCGTCGTCCATGGGGTGGAGACGAACCTTGTTGAAACGAGGTTATGTAGATTTCGAAGCCATAACAGATGTTGCTTCTAGCTGAGCTGAACACTCGCTCCAATCAGCTTCCCAGTAAGCGCTCACACATTTCTATGATGCGTCTTCAGATTTATAATATCAGCCTATTTATCTTCCTCCCGCAAACCCTACCTCTCCTTACCGAAGGTGATAGCGCTCCACCTTGTCGCATACGGACACTACTAAGGCGTTGATGTCCTAGGACTACTAGCTCAACATGAGCGGCCCCATGAACATCATACTCTTTGGCGAAACGGGCGCAGGCAAAAGCTCCATAGTAAACATGCTCGCCGGACACAACGTCGCAAGAATCTCGAGCAAGGCCGAGGGCTGCACGTTCAAGTGGGACCGCTACCCCGTCAAGATCAGCGGCAAGCACTACAACATCTTCGACACCGCGGGGCTCGACGAGGGCGAGGAAGGCACGATGCTGGCCGAAGACGCGGTCGTGCAGCTCTACCAGCTCATCACGAACGTCGAGGACGGCATCAGCCTGATCGTGTTCGTCATGCGCGGGCCGCGCATCAAGGAGGCGGCGCACAGGAACTGGCGCCTCTTTTACGAGATCTTCTGCCGGCAGAAGGTGAATGGCTCGATCATCATCACGGGCCTTGAGCAAGAGGAGGACATGGACGATTGGTGGCCGGAGAACAAGGGGCACTTCTACAGCTACGGTATGCGTCCGTTTGGCGCTGCGGGTATCACGGCGACTCCGGGAAAGTTGAAGGGGAGTAGGTGTATATATCAGGAGGAGTATGACGAGTCGACGTCGAAGATTAAGAAGATGATCAGGGAACATGCGATGCCGGATCCGCAGCGGATTGACAAACTTAAGTGGTTTACGGATGTGTTGTTGTTTGGGTGTATAAAGGTGGGTAGGAAGAGCACGGATGAGGTTCGGCGGCTAGTAGACCGGTGCGGGATGTCATCGGAGGAGGCAGAACGCCTCGCAAATAGGTTGAGCAATGTGTAGCTTTGTGTAACGTAGTCAGATGCCATATGTCAACTTCATGTTTCGTGTCGCCTTTCCAGATGCTTTTGAAGAGTCAGGCGAGGATGGTGGCAGCGGCCATAAATATTGACTCAGCGAGGCGATAGAGGTTTCCTGTGGCTTAATATCTACTAGACAAGGAAATAATCCCAGTTGTTGCCGAACAGATGTACGTCCGCTAAGCTATGTCTTTCCAAGTAGTTGTGTCCTACTCGCTGGGGCGTATCCGATCGGAGCGGAACGCACTTTAGACCCCTCATTTAACTAGTCCTATAGATATATCTTTTGGGTGCACATTTTCTGTCTTGGAGACCTGTTTCCCATGGACTGTCCATAAAGGTATGGGTCAAGTATACACTCCCCTGTAGGACCATGGCTCATATATGCACTGGTACTGATGACTCCGTCCATGGGCGGTCTCCTACCAGAGCCCCAAGGTGCAGTGGGCAATGTGATATATGGGCCAAGTTTTGGCCCAGAGGTGTACCTGGGGTCCTACAAGAGTAGGATTACCCACTGGTATTGTACATTAATGCAATGGTTGTGCCCTGAATCAGCCTGTTGCTGTCCTGTGTTGCTCTGGGGATACATCCCAGTGTGTGTGGGGGTAGATAGGGCACACAGAGCCCCTAAATACATCCCCTACATCCTGCAAACAGTGCTTCTTTGACTAATGCATGGGGGTGATATTGGCTGCATTGGTGGGTTAATGGTG